AATACGAAGACTGTTTCCCAAAAAATATTTATTTATTCATCAATCTCTCTTTTGTTCCCTTCAAAGTAGTCCCCATCATATATAAATACACTTGTGCCTTCGTTTTTTCCAATCCTCGAAGCACTTCTGATATGCAATTTTTCATATGTCAATATGTGATATGTTTGATATGTTCTCTCAGCGATTTGGATTTATCTCCTCAATCGTCGCAGGGCACCAAATAGAATAAAATAGGATATTTATTTAACTATGTTATATACAAAAGTACATTTATAGCAAGTCAGATTAAAAATACATAAAGATATATTAAAAATACCTAGAAGGACATACTAGCGACAAATAAAGATTGCCACGTTGAGTATATTTATGAACATTCTGATATAAAAAATGAAATAGTGATGATATTTATCAGAGCACTTATCAGATCACTTGGTGATCGAAACACGTATCGAGGTGTTAAAAATAACGATTTGGTGTTGAGATTAAACTCCAATAATATTCATTACTACACCAAAGGTTCCAAACAGTGCATCATAAGAGCACTTCTGAGAAAATAGAGGCGAGCGAATGGGATCTGAAAGGAGTGTTCAAAGAGGCACTTCAGGATGTTGCATATATTCTTTAAACTCAACCACTGAATAGAAACAGTGCTGCAAAAGAAATCTTTTTATCTTTTTTTTGAAAGGAAATTATATTGAGTGTCTTGATATCAGATGGTAATATATTATACACATGATAGTGCGGTGAATTTCTTTGGGAGCCTGTACCTGGGAGTTCTGATATCATCTGATCAGTTTGTATCAGGAATGTACTTGAGATTGTGTTACCAAATTTCTTGTTTGTCTATGTATTTCTGTAAGATGTATAAGGAAGGTAGCGATAAAATTTTGAGGCGAACAAATAAAGGACGACAATGTTCTCTGCTATTACAATTTAAAATTATTCTCTGGGCCTTTTTTTGTTGTCGAAAGATTTGCAGTGACTTTGAGGAGTTACCCCACATTATGATACCGTTACTCATATGAGCATAAAAAAGTGCAAAGTAGATACTTTTCAGTGTATCATGATTAACATATCTCTTCAATTGCCAAAGTAAAAATAGTGTACTAGAAAGTTTATGTCTAAGTTGTTCAATGACAATTCCAGCCAAGTCCGTTATTTGTTAACGTTATTGTCCTCCATGAGAGAATTATTTGTAGAAAATGTTATATTCTGGGTTTTACTATTATTAAGTTGTAGCTTATTAGCCTGAAACCAATATTTGGATTTTTCTTAACGCCAGTGATAACATCGGTAGTTGCTGAGTCATAGTGAGAGGTAATCAGGGTAGTATCATCAGCAAACATAGTACACTTTTCCGGCAATAGAAATTGGCGCAAATCATTAATGTAAATGATAAAAAGTAACAGCCCAAGGACCGAACCCTGTGGGACACCATGTATGTTAGTTTTTTAATTCTGACCTCTCATTGCTGACTTCAACAACTTGATAGCAATTTTTTAGGTAAGATTCAAAAAGCTTTAGAGCAACTCCTCTCATTCCATAATAACTCAGCTTCTGAAGAAGGATATCATGAGACACAGTCGAAAGCTTTCGACAAATCACATAGGATTACTGATGCATGATGTTCTTTGTCCATTGCCTCGACTTTATCTCTCACAACACTCATCACTGCACGAATAGTAGAGTTGTTTTTTCGAAAACCAAATTGAGAATCATGGAAGTAGTTATCTTTTCTAGAATCTTTGAAAATACTTGTACAAATTATCGAAATCGGACGATAGTTATCAGAAAGTGCTTTGTCACCCTTTTTATGAATTGGTAAAACTTTTGCATACTTGAATACATCCGGAAACACACCAGTGAATAAAATTAAGTTGATGAGCTCTGTTAATGGTAGTAATATTATGTCAATGGTATCTTTTAATATTCTACTGTTTAGGTTTATGAGACACATCAATTTTTATTTTACAAAATTTCTACCCAGTTGCGCTTCTTTGGGAACATGCAAGCCTAAACCTTTTTGTAACAAATTCTTAAATATTTGAAAACAGGATCTCTAATAACATACAGTAGATATCTGTGATATTTGAAGAACTTTGTTGACTAGTTTTCAGAATTTATTACTGCCTCATATTGTTCTAATTTATTTTTTCAAAGACTTTGTTGATGAGTTGAATTCATTTGATATAATATTTTATCATCCAAAGGAGGGCTGGTGTGGGTGCTCATACCGAACATTTCATCTCACTGTACACATCGTAAACCTTGGCAAATTCAGAATATCTAAAGAAATTATTGAAGTCACTTTTGATGATGTTGATATTTTTTGCTGTGTGTTAGAGTTTGTTAGAGTAATTAAAAGATCTGTGAACCAGAACGCAGCCCTCACTACATATAATTCTCCTTTTCACTCAGTTCTAAGATATGGAATAATATCCTGGAGCAGTGCATCAATAACCAATCAGCTCAACTGCACAAAATTCAGAGTCTACTTCGCGCGTCTAGCTATCAGTGTTAAGTAGTTTAAATTTCAAATGAGAGTTCAAATATATTGAAACACCCCCGTGTCTAATATTTTTCCTACAAAAATGAGTAGCAAATGTATAACAAGGTAATTTCAAACTCCTTATGTTCAACTCTGTTTGCCAGTATTCTGATAGGCAAAGAACAGAGAACTTATTATCCGTTAGGAATATTTCCAGCTCTTGAAGTTTATTTGAAAGATATTGAATATTCATGTGAAACATGCTCACTATGTTTTCAGAGTTAACGTCGATCATACTCTTCGTAGTGTCACAGAAACCATTATTAGCTAAGATTTATGTTCGGTATTTGCCAACTTCCGAAAATTTCTGCCCCTTTTGGCCAAATGGAGGGATTGTAGACTTTGTCCACGTCTTCACATGGGAAGCTAACCTTATAACTTGAAGCATATTCGCTTCTGGACCATTCTTCACAGGAGAAGGATATATCTGGAGACGTTCTTTTCAGTACTTGTAGTAGGTTGTCACTCGACAATCTGGTGAATACGGTGGATGAGGCATGATTATGATGTTGTTTTTGGCCAAAAAATTACGAACAAGCAAAGACAAGTGAGCAGGGGCATTATCGTGATACAAAAGACATGAATTGTTTTTCCATAATACCGGCCGTTTTCTTCGTATTGCTTCTGGCAAGCGGCACATAACTTCAAAATAATGCTCCTTATTTACCGTACGACCATGTGGTAAGAAATCCTGATGCACTACCATTTGATGTTACTTGGCTTTCTGAGCGATGCTCATGCGACGGTTTTCTTTGGTCAAAATTCAGCAATTTTGGAACAAACTTTGCTGCCACAAGCTACTTGCCCAAAATTTGCGAAAAAATTGCATGGCATGAACCAACTGATATGCCGTCATCCTCAGAAACTTTCCTAATAATGATTCGACGATTCTACATAAGAATTTTTTTTCTCTCAACATTTTCATCAGTTGTTGATATGCTGGGGCGTCTGTCTTCATTCACATCTTTTTGATATTCTGTGAGAAGTTTGTACCATTTGTACATTTTTCTGACTCACAGTACAATCACCGTATGCCATTGTCAACATTTGAAGTTTTTTTTTCCCAAAATTGTATACAAATTCTTTGATAACTTTCTCTCAATAGTAGAAAATCGCTGAACACGCAAAACACTTCTTTTATGCCTCTCACCAACAAACAAAACAGCTGAAACTGTAAAAATATGTTCGAGACGAATAGTCTATCCTATGTCTGTAACTTTTTTGGATTAATATTATTATTACCAACATAAATAAAATTTAAAAATCTCTAATCAAATATACGTAGCCCGCAGAATTGGAACATTAACCTTTTTTTTTAACCGACCTCATACTCTAGTTTTATGTCATTTGCAAATGATCTTAATCTTTACAAGGAAATAATCAATTCCCATGATTACAGGACACTTCAGATGGATATTCATGTGTTGTAACTCTGATGTGTTAATAGAATCGCTTTATATACAAAAAAAGTCATTGTATGATTTTGTCTAGAAAGAAAGTGGCCATCGAGTTAAGTTACTCTTTGAACAATTATTTAATAAGAAGCATTGATGAGGATCGTGACCTAGGTTTTATCTTTGCCAAATCTCTGAACTTTATTCCTCATATGAATCAAATCTCTATAACTACTGGGTTTTATTAGTANAACGACATACTAAGGTCAGAAGTTTTTGCTTCACAAATAAAGGGAGGCATGAATCTGTAGCTAGCCTTGCATAAATATTTGATGGATTTTTTTTGTAGAGAGAATACCATATTGAAACAAAATTCTGCCCAATTTCCCCAGAAACAAATTCCATAACGTAAATACGACTTAATTTGTGCAAAATAAACTGATTTTGTGATAGTAGTGACTAACTCTCTTGCAACAACTCTCACTGGATGACATTTTGCTGCTAGTCTTTTACATAAATCGGTCGACATGGGAATCAAATTTTAGATTTTCATCAATGAAGAGCTCTAAAATTTGTTTTTCTCCAAATTTTCAATTTTTACATTTTCCAAGTGTACTTCCACTATGCTACATCTAAACGTGACCACATTTGTTTTGTCGATGTTGAATGATAATAGATTGGAATCACACCACTCTTTCGCCCTTCTTGATCAAGTAAATACTTACGAATATAACACAATCTTTTGATGATTTTAAATCTCGCTACACCAAATCTTGGTAGGTGATCTAAACTGTTCGGATTTGTTATTCATAATTCCCATCAAAACAACTCGGAACCTTGCTTTGTTTGAATTTCCATCCAATCCAATAGCAGCACTCATGCGGCTCAGAAATTCTTTTGAGGGTGAACTGACTCACAGGAATCAGCTTTGCTTAATTGAAAAAATAATTTTCTTCAAATTTTTCATGCCTAGTACCAATTGACTTGTATTGAATTGTTAGGTTAGCTTGAATGTGTATGTATTGTATAATTTTCTGAATTTCATATAAAAGTTTCACCACAATTCAAAGGAATCTATTAATCAATAAAATAACCAAATCATCACTAAATCTTTTTTAAAATATTGAAATCAGAATCACGTTCTTAATATACATCTCACTTTTTTTTTTACTAAATGTCAACTATTTACAAAACTAATCCAATTACACTTAATTTATGGACTAAAAATTAAAAAAAAAGGTATGTATGAACATCATTTGCTAAAGTTGCAATCTAATTTGGTCACCAAATATATAATTTCTATCAACAAACAGTTTTATGGTTTAGAAGTTTTGATATTTCTCTTATTTTCATTTCATGAAGAAATTAAATTGCACGCAAAATATTTTGCACAATCACAATGATTATACAATGAATATTATTTTTACCAGTCTGACAGTTTCTGAATAAAAAAGAAAAATGCAATTATTAATAAACGCGATTATCATTGATTTGTTGAGATCTGGGAATATTTTACATCAGCCTTAATTTATTCTAAATTTGAACAAATCCGTGAACGTTTTTTTTTTCATCTCATGATTACAATATAGAAAAAGTACAAAAATGAATCATATTCCACAATTATCACAATTGCATAATATAAGATTTGAATAAACTTTGAAAATAAAGTACTCTAATAAAAACTAAATCTAGTTTGATTTCGGCGTCTTTTCTGTTTTCCATATTCGTATTCTTTCTTTCAGGTCATCCGCTGCAAATGAAAGTAAATGATTTTTTTATATATTCGTAAAAAAATATTCATGAATTTTGTGTAACTGATAGTTGATAAATTGAAAAATCAACATATTGAATAAAGTAAATATATAATAAATTGAACTTGAAGAAAAAATTAATAGTTTTAATTTGAGTAAGGTTTTCATTTCTATCAAATTTGTCATTTTTCAGGATTAATGACTGTCATTTATTTCAAGTGTTTCTCAAGGTTTTTCACCGAACAGGTGGTTAGTATCTCCAGCAGTACAACTACTGATTTTCTCTTTCTAAGTTTTTATTTATATCTCTGGGGTCGGCACACAATTACTTCCTGTTTGTTAATTACTGGTAAGGTTTTCATAATGAGCCTCTTAATGCCTCTCTTAATGGTTTATCTTCCTTATCGATTGAAGCAGATGGCCAAAATTTATAGACCGTTTGATTTTCACTGCTCTTTTGAATTTCTTTTTGTGTTCATGAATTTCGAGGGTTGCTTTGTACAATGTAGCAGGGTATTTATACCTTAGCCTAAACCATGTGTGAACAAATTATAATCATATTAAAAGTAAAGTGAATAGAAAATATTGGAAATTAACATTTTTATAAAACCAGCAAAGTGAATTTTCAAAGAGGGCCAATGAGCAACAAAGAGTCTTGATACCAAATTATGAAGGATTAGAGACAGTGTACCGTAGTTGGTGTTATGACATTTTATACTACAGATTTAATTATCAAAACTTGGGTAGCTTCAAGTTTGATATGATATTCATTATTCAAAGAATGTTCAACTACAGCTACAAGTTTGTCGTATGTACCTTTGTTTTTGCCCATATTTTCATGGTTTTGATGTAAACCCTCCACAAGATTAGATTAGATTTATTTATTAAAATGGAACAAATGTCCTTCGTGAACCATCATATATTGTCTGTTCGTGAAGGTAATTCTTCTATTTTCACCAAATGTAGCAGATACAACAAGCAATATACTCTGAAGATTTGAAGACACTGTCGAATAGTGAGAAATATTTTGGGGAAATAAATTGTTTTTGTATATAGATGAAACACAATAAATAACCTTCACAGGAAAAAATCAAACATCAAATGATACTGTGAAACTTTCAGGAATCAAGAGTCTCAACTGGAAGCAGCATCAAATAGATATCAGTAGAAAACTAGCCAGAATTAGTTATGAGAAAAGAAGTATAACAAAAAGTACTGATCACTGCATCTGTGGGGTTCTTACATGGGGTGCAATCTCATCATCCAGAGATATTTTTGTCTTGAAGTCTAGAAAGTTATCAAAGAGGTGGAATTTAAAAAACATAGCAACCATATTTTTATTGAAGTGGCAGTACCAACACTTGCTTCTATCTATATAACAAAAGCTATATTGCATATAAATATAAATAAGAATATAATTAAATATATTACAGGTTGTCAAATTCATGTTCAAAAAATCAGAAATGAATATTTGTTGTTTACTAAAGAACAAAGTGACAGGAACAGAACACCAAACAGACTACTTTCTATCAAAAATATAAAACAGCCTATTTATTGATTGGAAATCCTATTGTGGGAACAAACTAACATTAATGATGGTTTTCATGATGGGTTGATAATTTTAATTGAATACATACTGTGTTTTTCTTTGTGAATTGTTTATATGTCAGATTTCTTAATTATTCATATGACAACAAAATGTTAGAAACCTAAGATTTTATGCACTAGTGCACAACATAATTTGCCTAATGAAAATTATGTAGTTTCTGTAACAGAAATTTGTATTTGAAGGTGAATAAAGCATTCATTTATCTATCTATGAAAACGGTTTACCAATAGACAAGGAATATCTAAAATTGTCTGTAGCCTGAATCAAATATCATTCTAATATACTTTTTCTGCATTATGAAGACTATGGACCTTCTCCAGACAGTGATGTTGCAGCTAATGGTGCTATATACCAGTGCATAATATAAATTAGCCTAGGAAAATTTGACTTGAGTGTGTTGTTTAGTTTTTTGCAAACAGCATCTATGTGGTTATTGAATGAGATTTTATAGTTGAGTTGAGTATTGGGCTGAGAGGATTTGTAAACCCTGTAAAAACTATTTTTCTGTAACCGATCTAATTGAATTTTGGAATTCAGAAGCTGGCCAGTAATATAAGCGCTGTGAAAGAGAAAACCAATTTTTGTTTTTCACTCAAAATAAATGCAGGTCTAAAATTCGAGAAATGACAAATATATATTCTCTTCCGATTATATTCATATTATAAAAAGTATAACATTAAGAATAATTCACACATCATAAAATATTCTTACCTGGAATCAACATATCCTCAGTGAGAACCTGTCTATTGAACGGATCTGTATTGCTATTCAATAAATGTCTCATGATCACAGATCTTTCCATTATTTGACCACTTGGCAGAAGTACAGGGTCAGTCATTAAAGTGTCCATTAGGGGATCTTTAAATTCGTCAGGCGCATCCGCCAACCAATCCTCAGATTTCTGGTTGTTTTCCACAATTTGGAAAGCTTTCAAAAATAAAGCTTTGAACTGTTCCAGCTGAACTGGTGTTTTTATTGAAATTCGCTCTAATCGAGCAGATGCATCCTCAAAGAGCTGTTTTCTGAAAGATCTCTGAAAAATTCAACAAAGTTTAAGATACTGTATATACTTTATGAGCGATTTGATAATCCACCTGATTATCAACTATAGTATTGATTGGGTTAGGGTTTAATTACAAATTATCACCATTTAATTATTTCTAAGACATTAAAAAAGCCTTATTTTTCTAATTTAATTTCAGATTGAGAAATGTACATTTTACTAAGGATGGATCCAAGATTTAGCTCTAGGAGGACTATATGGAAGCTTAGATAGGGTCTTCAAACAGGGACTTCTGAACTTTGATAATTGATAACAACCATCTGTCATCTACATCTGTCAAATTAGTTGTCATTTATTCAGTCGGTTTTGCAAATCACCATGAACGGATACGGATATAACATTCAACAACACATGAAAATAATAAAATTGTTTTATCAAAATGGGTGTTCTGTTCGGGCAACGTACAGACCACAACTTGGCGAATTTTGCATCGTGACTTGAGCCTGCACCTGCACAAAAGTCAACTGACCCAGGAACTGAAGGTAAACGACCATAGACAACGACAGGTGTTCGCTGAATGGGTTCTGGGGCATTTGGCAATTGATCCTAATTTTCGTCAAAAATCATCTTCAGCATTGAGTCCCATTTCTGGATGAATTAGTAAGTGAACAAATAAATGTCGAATTTGGGACGATACCAATCCACGTGAGATCTAAGAGCGTCCAATGTATCCCGAAAAAGTCACTGTTTGGTGTGAATTTTGGGATTGCGGCATAACCGGTCCATATTTCTTTGAGAACGTTGGCCAGGCAATCACTGCCAATGATTACCACTGTAGTCGACGATTATCAACTTCTTTTGGCCTGAATTGGATGATCTGGACACCAACAACATGTGGTTTCAACATGACGGCGCCCCGTGCCACACCTCATGCCACGTTGGATATTCTGGACGAGTGACTTGAGGGCATAGTCATCTCACGTGGAGGTGATGTAAGTTTTTTTTGTGAGGTTTTTTTCAGTCGCAGGTGTATGCGAATAAGCCACAAACCACAGCGGTCCTCAAAGCCAACATAACCCATGCCATCGGTCAAATGCAGCCTGATTCATGCGCTTTATACGAACCTCATCTCCTGCAAGAGCTTCAGCAAACTTATCACAATCCAAATGTAAGTAAATATCTACAAGTTGACTGAGTAACCTCCTAGGTTCCCAACCATATTTATCGGGATTTCTAACCTTCAAGTCATTGCACTTTTTACCGCACAGTTGCTGCAAGTTGAAATTCAGCATTGAAGCCAACCTGAGGAGAAAAAAGTTTTCTTTGATATCGATGACTTCAACAGGAGTGAAATATCTTGAGATCACCTCATACTTAGATGATCTGTAACTTGCTTGAAATATGGAATTACTATATATAGTATCATTATTAACTTTCATAAAATCGAGCAGGATGCTCTTCCACCACAGACACAACAATTTTTTAGGATATGTCAAAATATATTTCAAAGTTAACTTGTTGTGTGCTACACAGTACAAAATTCTAGTAAATTGTTCTTTGATAATGAAGATAAGCCGTCAGGTTCCATAGTTGTAGTAGAAATTATATGGGCAAATATTCCATTTATTACAGAAAATTGCAAATTTTTACAAGATTTGATTTTACTGGAGAAAAGTATATATTACACCAAATAATAATCATTTCATAGAAAACTTAAGAAACAAACAATATTTTCCCATTCCATAGTTATAGGTTACCATTTGATTAAAGTAAGAACTATAGAGACAAATCATTTATTACCTCATGAATAAATACCACTACAAAGATAATGATTCATTGATTGGTGTATATTTTGCATATTTTAGAATAATCATCATTCTTCTATTTTGTAACTTCTACAGATGACTAAATTTATTTTTTAAAAATCAGGCAGAATAGCAGCAGTTGATAATTTACCAGCTATTCTTGAAAAAAGGTGAATTTTCAAAAATATGGTTTTATAAATATATCTCCTCTTTCACAAATGTAAAGCTTTTGCATGAAACGAACCTCAGCATCTACGTCAGTATGTGTTTTAACAAAGGATTGATTGTGAAGATTCAAAAAATTACAAGTTGTCGTAACGTCACCGCAAGAGGAAATTAAACAATTAATGAAGGAGACAAGAAAATAGAAAAACAAAAAATTGAAACACCGAAACGTTAATCTATGAAAGAGCTGAAGGATAAGAGGAAAAAATTCAATTATTATAAATTTGATGAAACAGGCGATGATTTGAAAAGTGTAAAAACAGTGGTCCCTACTGTCCCTAGAGAAAACATGAAAGTTATGAGACAAGGTAGACCTCAAAATAATAAACCAGCCCCTTTAAAAGTTCAATATTTGTCACAAGATAACTCCCTTGTAATACTCAAGAACAAAAAGAAACTGAGAAATGTTCCATATCCACGGAACAAACGAAAAGACAATAAAAATACTCACAGAAAATATGGCGAGAAATAGATTTCAATAGGAAAAAACGATGAGCAAAACATATACATTCATTATGTGAACGACATTCCTCGTGTGAGTAAATAAAAAAACTAAGTATCAGTTCATGCCATATCAATATAAGATCAATTATTCCCAATTTCAATGATGTCAAAAACTTTGTTCTCAAAAAAATTGTTATTATCAGAGTCTTGAAGATACGGTTAGACCTCAAAAAAAATTGTTATTATCAGAGTCTTGAAGATACTGTTAGACATGTAATACCCAGACTATTTGTAAGCGATTCCTGATTACAATCTGATTATTTTGGTTGGTTTCCTGGTTTTGCTGTGATCTTCCATTGCAGGGAAAAGAAGAGGAACACCAGTGAAGAGAAATCTCAAGGCACTGTCCATCTGCCATACATAGAAGGTGTCACCAACCGAATCGGGAAAATTTTAAAGAAGAGGAAAATTAACATTGTCTTCAAACCAATGAAGAAAATATCTGAGTATCTGAGATCAGCAAAAAACAGCAGAGATCCACTCAAATCAGCGAGAGTTTACAGGATTCCTTGTAACTGTGGTAAAGTTTATATCAGTCAGACAAAAAGAAGTATTGGTACCAGACTAGTCGAGCACAAGTGGAGTAGCCGATTGGGACAGATTGAGAAGTCTGCAGTTGCTGAACATGCTTTGTCAGATGGGGAACACAAGATCCTTTTCGAGGGCCTAGCAACGTCGAATCATTATTCAACAGGAATGTATTTAGAAGCCATTGAAATACATAAACACCAAGAGAACTTCAATAGAAAGGAAGAGAGAACATATCTACAAACGATGTGGCAGACAGCTCTGAAAGGTGGCAAAACTAAGCCAAGTTACACAAATTTATTTTGAAACGCAGTTGGTTATTCTGATGGTGGTAATAACATAAATCTATTGATCGTTAGTGTCACTATTTTTCGAGTTTGACATAGTGACACTGAAAACCTCATCCGCGAAAGTCTAAACCATTTTTTCTATTGATCGTTACATGTGTATCATTGTTACATGTGTTGGCGACAAAATTTATGTTGAATTCAATGATACACATGACATGAACAGTAATACAGATCACCAAATGGTGTACTGTACAATGAAATTTCAAGGTACTCAAACTTTAAAATCTATTGGAATCATATAAACTCAACACATTTAAATATCCCCACCGAAACATTAAATGCAGCCATAGTGTCACTCTTCGATATTTATGGACTACTTTGCACAACCAAAATGAAAAACTATCAACCGTTCATTACATATAACTCAAAAAATAAAGCTCATTATCCCAATGAATCCATGGTTCTTACCTACAAAATATTTAATCCAGAGCATTATAATCTTTGGAACCGAGACAAGAGTCTTTCATCACAAAAAAGCCTTCTTATAGAGGGAGATACACATTGTTAAATATGCCAATGCAGTTAATATTCAGCTGGTGTGCATGAAAATGTGCACCAAATAATTTTGACTCTCCTGAAATTCTGAAAAGATAGTTAGTTTTTCGATAGCAATGACTCAATTTTGAAGTAATGTACAATGGCATCAGTGTAATAGTGACATTTTGTTGGCATTGAATGTATTAACTGTATTAATTTATGAAAGGTACAATCATCTCAAAAGAAAGAATCAAATGATTACTATGACAGCATTTCTCTTTGAGAGTTTCAACAGTGCATTACTTTCATTACTTTCGACACTAAATACTATGTATATGCTAAACTATGCATATGCATTCATTATCTGTAATTTAATCGTGTAGTTTATTGCTATAGTTCAGCATGCACAAAAATATCTCAAAAATCGTAAGTTCATGTATGTAGGGATTTCATGTATATTAGGGATTTCAATTTCAAAAAATCTATTTCTTCTCCATATACATTCAGTCACTGAATTATTTCATTATTGAACAGCATTAAAAATTTACTCACCTATTAAGTTTCTTAACTTGCTGTTTCCATCTCTTTATAAATTGTTTATTTCTATTGGCAAAAGGAGAGTTTCGCCATTGTGCCTCGGCAGNACATATTCGACTAAATATAAATAATTATACCTATCGTACAGACATACACCATCATGATACTAGAAATAAATCAGACCTCGTCATGCAAGCAAATAGACTGAAAAGGACTGACAATATTGGCTTTGAGCTATACAATACTGTGTCACTAGACTTTCGCAATTTAAGATTTAAGTACTTTCTGAAGTTTTTCTTAACTGAAAATCCCCTGTATGATATCAATGAATTTTATGGAAGTGTCCAATTGAATAGAGATGCCTTCAATGTGGACACCTAAATAATAGGTATGTTCCCAGTTGACTAATATGTATGTGTATTGCAACTTAACACAAATGTTTGTACTAAACTTCTTAACGATCTTGATATTCTTGATGACCTCGATATAATTTTTTCAACCTTATGATTATCTTCTAATTCTCAAATTCCATCATGTAATGTAATTTGTTTTAATGAGTATGTTGATTTGTTTTATTCAACCTTCTGAAACAATTTCAATATAACCCAAGTGTACCTGTTCCTTTACCTGATAAGAAGAATTGAATTGTTTTTATTTTCAAGGTCTTGTGAAGTTATATCTCAATTCAACACAAGGCAAGGGTTATACACACATTAAAACTATCTAACAACTCAATATCCTCAATAGATATTGAAACTATATAAATAAAAAAATTGCAAGTTTTTAAATGTCACTAAACAAATGAAATAGCTCTGAATTTCAAATGATATTTTGCAATAATACAATTTAAAATCTGTGGCAAGTACTCAACAAAATATAAGAGCCTTGAAATACTTAAAATAGGCTTACCTTTCAACCAGCTCTTGTTTCAAGAATGGTTCCTTGATATCCACTGTCAGATAATGAAACATATCTACCGTCTCCCGAGCTAAAGTCAGATAAGAACGGCATTGTCTTTCATCAGAATTGAGTTGCCTCATTCGACTTTGTTGTTGCTCTGAAGGTAACTTTGACCATTTCTCGTCATCACTAATCAGTTCTTGCACTTCATGAATGCGTTTGAGTGATTCCAGAGATTCATCAAGTAGGAAGGTGGTGTCATTCATCAACATGTTAACAAATTTCACAAACTGTAGGCCGCTTCGAGATTCGTTGATGAGAGCCTGGCGATGGACGGGAGATGACCACATTTCTAAAATAAAAAAATTCACCATGATTTATTGACCTCTGGAAAGACGGTAACAGGGGCCTTAACTAAATATGTAACACTAGTTATTAACAAAAAATTAATATCTAAAAAAAAACAAAAGGAAAAAGCCAATCACCTGATCAAATGTATTTTGGATTTTCTTTTGTACTGATTTTTAGAAATATATTCTTTTAGATTAGTGTTATTCATGATAAATGATGATCCTATTATATAAAATAGATTTTTTCATAATTTGTATTAATTATATAGGTTATAAGATTAGTTTACCTATTTGGATATTTCTATTATTAATTTCTCAACGTTACATATGATATACTTATATATAAAACACGAAATGAATCTTTGAAATTACCAGTGAAAATAAATATGCGTGCATATTTCGTATGCAAACATATGCATATAATATAAAAATATAACAGTAAACAAAAGCATCAATACAGCCCTAGACTGAAAATATTTATAGCTGTTAATTTCAACCATAACTTTGAATAAAAAAGGAGAGATAGTTAGTAGAAGAAAATCTGTCTGTTCTCAATCTGTTTTTCTGTTAACCAGCTGTCGCCCTCTTACAAACGACAACCCTCAACTTGTGAAAACTAAGGATTATGGAAGCGTTAACTTTTAACGTGCGATTCTCAGCAGAAATCTAACTTCAATAGTAAAATGTGAAAATTACTAAAACATGATTTTTCATTACCTCTTACAAACTAAATAAACTATGACTATTCAACATTGAAGTGTTGAATAGTCATATCATATTAATAACAATCCTGGGAACAACAATGAAAGTTTTGAAATTTTATTTGGATGAGCAAGTGAAATATGTGGAATACATAAACAAAGAAATTCTCAATGACCTGAGCAGCTTCTTTGATTGAAGCTTTGAGAAGGTTAAACTAATCTTCAGCACTGTCACAAATAGAGTAAGTTTAGTATGTGCATTCAAATCAGATAATCGATGGCAAAAACACAATTACTAAAATATTCTTTAGGAAATGAACCCTAATTCATTATGAACAGAACATGTTCATTTCAATTTATGCCACCTTAGCACAGTAATCAATAAACAGTAAAATCTCCTGTTCAGAATTATCATCCATAAATTTTAATGTATCAATGAAAATCCATGGAATAATAATTTGTTCAAGTTACTCTTCATTCTACAAATCATGGTAATATTTTACTGCAGATTCGAAAATTCATAAATAGGCGGAGCTGATAAATAAGGGGGGCAAAAGCTACTTCCCCAGTAATAGATAAAAACATAAAACAGATTTTTGTGTAACTTGAGATATATTTGAAGAAGTTAAGATTTATTTTAATGTATCCATCATCACAGTTCTTCTCAATGTGGCTTAACAGAGGTAACGACAGTAACATTAACAGAATTGAATAAGTTCAAATATTTCCTCAAATTATTTTCGTGTTATTACAATATGTCTGTAACCAGGCGAATAATGGTAATTTTCACAAGCTGGTTTGATTATAACAATACCGGATAAATTGTAAAAATATCAATGAACCAACTATAAATTTATATAACTCAAAAATTATTTATTTTATTGTTGAAAAAAATGTTGTCACTTAATATATGACAAATATTTTTTTTATGAGTATTGTTGTTTTTTATCATTTCTTTCAATCTATAATATAAACAAATTTGTTTCTTGCAATGAAGGAATACTTAAGTTATATATGGAGCTCGATCCTTAAGCATACCCAGAGTCTGATAGATTCTATCATGAGCTAAACGTCATAAGTAACCTTGAAAGTTTGAAATATTTAAGGAACATTGGGGACCTATTCCGAAGTGTCAGACTCTCTTAGCCTACTTGATTCCACTTTAAGTGATGTATGCTAGTAGTATGTGGAAAACTACAGCTGCCAAATTCAAGTTAAGCTTCACTTTTTGAGAACTTTCTCATTTGGAGAAGGCGCTCAGAATGAATTCATTAAAAATACTTTTCCAACACACACAAAACTAATACTTTTCTCTGTATGTGTTTAACTAAGTTTCCAACATCTCCAATATCTGTTGTGGAGCATGCCATTTAAAAAATGCCAGGCTCCACTACAATACTATTTTGTTCCGTTTTTCAATAAAACCTGATATAGCACAATATGGAATATAAAATATGAATACTTACTTTTGAGGATTAAACTAATATGATAACGAATAGAAAACTTATCATAAAATTCCGAGCTGGAACCTGTAGTTTCTACATCAGTGTAAAATTTCATCAGCGAGCTGGGTAGAAAGGTTTGCGAGATGTGGTGATTCATCAAACGCATGTATAGAACCTCGCACCTCGGCTGGATCGAAGGAAGAATTACAAATACTACTTCAACTAATTTGGCAACTAAATATGGATTTTTGATCATGTGAGAGGAACATATTGTGACCAAGAGCCAGGTTATCAGAGTGTCTTCCATGTTATCAGCAATTACAGTTGGGAAATATCTGAAAAAGAATATATCATCAAATACAACATAAATGAAAATAGTAACAGATGTAATTTTTTTCAAATTATTTTTTTTGATGAACAATCACACATAACAATGGCTGGTTACATGTTGAGTTCACTTAGCATGGTGATTGTGCAATACGTTTAAATAATAAAGCCCTTTTAAGTAATATGTACACTCTGTACAGATATATGAATTACATGACAGACATAAAATGAAAACTCTCACTTATGTGAGAGCCTACGGCCGAACTTTGACTTTTTACTACATTTAAAATTAATAATACTTGTGGATTTATGTAATCATATGGTAAATGAAGTCATTTATATAATATATGTTTAAAATATGTTTTTTCCGTTAACCAGCAGTCGCACCCCTACGAACGACATCCCTCAGAAGTCAAAACTTGTGAGAGCTAAGGACTAACGAGGTTTACATTTATAATAATAATAAAATTTATCGAACAATTCATATAAAAGTACAAGGTATGATATTCAGTTAGAATAAAGCACAATGAAGGAAGCGATAAGTGATACATGAAAACAATATCCACTCTGCAGTATATTGAAATATTATTATAGTTCTACAGATAATTGGCTTTACGACCAAAGTAGTTGAAACCGAAGGAAAAGTAACTCACAACGAAATAAAAGTTTTACAAAGTGCCATTATATTTGTAATCAGTAATCTACATCTATTGAGAAAGATGAAAAAATGTCATATGCTACATAAGATATTCACAGATATTGAATCTATGTATGCTACAATAAAATAATTATGAAGATATATACTCACTGCAACGCAAATAATAAAAATTCTGCTATGTCCTCAACATACCACTCTGGCATAGCGGCAAATGCTGGAGAAGATGGTGGCAGTGGTAAATCAGGTACTGTACTTCCAGGAGGAGTATTAGTCATAAGACTCAAAAGGAATTCGGATACAGAAGTATAAAATACTAAAGATCTTCTCATCAAGTTTTTATCCAGAAGACCAGCATCTGCACAAGCTTTGGATCTAAAAAAAATATATCAAAAAAAATCAAAGATAACCTCAAAATGAAATATTTCATATATAAGCCATACTGTTAGGGAAATAGATTATCAGGAATGTTAGGCAACATTTCAAGTCCAAGTCCCAAAAAAACTTAAATGTAGTCAAACGAGCTAACAGAAGTAGAACAGACATGAATATTACTGTAGTTTTTTCCCAACACCAAACCGTTATTTTAACACCTCGACACGTGTTTCAATCACCAAGTGATCTTCTTCAAGAGGAAGATCAAACTTTCAGACATATTGGATACAGTATCTACTACATCTTTTGATGTAGTCTTATCTACAGGAAGAGAAAAACATATGTTATCACTATATAATATGGTTAACAGACCATGTTTCAGATGAATGTAAGTCATTGACATAAATTAGAAAGAGAAAATGGCTCCTGTGGTACATCCTTTTTGGTAAAGCTTCCCTGACTTAAAATATTGTGGTGATACACCCTCTGTGTTCTATTTCTTAAATATGATTTAATAAAGCACACATTGATTTATTAACTTAATTCTTGACAATTAAGTGGTCAGTTCATTTGTTGAACAATTGAATTGTAATGTTGAAGAAGGAATTATTCAAGTAACACTTTATGGTGAGATTTTCACTGAACAGTTCACAAAACCGCAACAAGTGTTTCACTATACAATGGGTTCTTCAGGTGTGTTCTTGAATCTCAAGAACAAGCAGTAGATTCTCTAAAAATTTAGGTTTAAAAATTTTAATTCTTTAGATTGTGGAAGGTTATAACCCTAGAAAAGCAGCAGGAAACCTATTTCACAAAAAAATGGAAGAGAAAAATTTCTCCCAATAGTATATAAAAATGGAAAATTTTCAAAAAAGGAAAGACATTTGCATTATACCTGGTATTCTATTTTAAAACATAAAATTATTTGAAAAGTTACATATTCAAAACGAGTTTTCATAAAACCTCTATGAAGTATAAAGAAGTTTTGATTTGGTATTAGAAGCAAAGTCCTTTTATAAGCTTACACAATGAAAATAATAATATTAAACATTTCAAAAGTTCTCAATCTTTGAAAACCTTGTTAGAAAATGAAAAAAAAAGTCAGGATTCAACCTCTATTGTGGCGAAAGATGGAATTTAAACCTCTGGCTCAGAATGAATTCATTAAAAATACTTTTCCAACACACACAAAACTAATACTTTTCTCTGTATGTGTTTAACTAAGTTTCCAACATCTCCAATATCTGTTGTGGAGCATGCCATTTAAAAAATGCCAGNAAACAAGTATATATTACACCAAATAATAATCATTTCATAGAAAACTTAAGAAACAAACAATATTTTCCCATTCCATAGTTATAGGTTACCATTTGATTAAAGTAAGAACTATAGAGACAAAAGATTTATTACCTCATGAATAAATACCACTACAAAGATAATGATTCATTGATTGGTGTATATTTTGCATATTTTAGAATAATCATTATTCTTCTATTTTGTAACTTCTACAGATGACTAAATTTATTTTAAAAAAATCAGATAGAATAGCAGCAGTTGATAATTTACCAGCTATTCTTGAAAAAAGGTGAATTTTCAAAAATATGTTTTTATAAATATATCTCCTCTTTCACAAATGTAAAGCTTTTGCATGAAACGAACCTCAACATCTACGTCAGTATGTGTTTTAACAAAGGATTGTTTATGAAGATCTCCAGGTATACAAGTACAGTTATTGTGCAGAGTTTTTTCAAACACAATTAAAACCTAATATGAGGTCACAATTAACATGCCTGGTTGTTTATGGAAGTGTACAGGATGCAATGTGATTGAAAAATTATAGGTTGTCGTAACGTCACCGCAAGAGAAAATTAAACAATTAATTTTTCATTATAATCTTCCATTTTCAATAGTATAAAATTTTGAGTGGAAGTATACATTTTCCGAACCAAAGGCTTACAAAAAAAAATTGTACAGGAAGACATATGCTTGGCAGAAATGTCAACCTCACAATAATTTTTTATGTTTAACCTAACCAATATAACTACCTGTAGATTGTAAATCATAGTACTTTTGACGAAAAATAAATCATCATTCTATCAAATGGTTGATTTGGCACAGAAAAAGTCGATAAGAAAAAAATATGCTTTCACAACAATTAGCAAACTAGCAAAATTATTACTATTCATGCCATCACAAAATTATCTATTAATCTGTTCTGAATATTGTTCAAAGGTCATTTTATCTCATGCAATTTGAACTTCTTTTATAAATTAGTAGAGTTTCATGAAAAGAATATAAATAAAATAAGTATAAGCTGGAAAAAAATTGAAACACGATGAATTTCATCTTCAAACACTATGATTAAGACCAATCAAAACAAAGTCAATAATGCTCATGTCCACAAAGAGGTACTTCTTCCTAACTACTCCTAAAACTACAAATACCAGTTGATAGTTGATGTTTAGTAAAATATGTGATTTGCATTCTTGATTGGTGTTTGGTTTCATCAGCAGTTGGCTGAGAGCAATTTATGAAAAGGTTCTAGTATCTACATATCTAATGAATCAACCTACATAGAGAAATTTAAAATAAAATTGTGATAAAAAAAGTATTACAAATCTGAACCACGCAGAGTATATCTAAGAGTGCTCTGAGAGATACGAAAAAAATCAATATTGGTCCTATTAGCATTTGATTGAATTCTGGACAAAGAAGAATATTTTCCATAATTACACCTATGACAGTCGAGACTGAAAGTTTGGTTGTTACGTGTCCTTCTCGGGGGGAACATGCAGATTGACTTGACAGAGAAGAGTTGGGCAATTAATTTCGTTGTTCAACAATTTATGTAGGAATATTAGGTTTAATGACTTTGAAAAGGAAATACTTTTACATTTTTGCAACATTGACATCCATATAATTCATCTTACACCAATCACAAAAATATTTAAGGTCCATTTGAATTTTCGCACAATCCTGCAACGAATCAATTGCTCTAAAAATTTTTAGATCATCTGCAAACATCAGTATTTCACAGTGAGTGATTTTTTCTTTGATATCATTTACAAAGATATTGAAGAGAAAAGGTCCCGAGTGACTCCCTTGAGGTACTCCTGAGATAACAAGATATCTCGTGAGAGATAAATCCTTTAATTTTCACAAACTGTGATCTATCACAAAGATAACTTGAGAACCAGTCCAGCAAACTCCCAAAAAAGCCAATTGCCTTTAATTTTTCACAAAGAACTTTATGGTTCACGATGTCAAATGCTTTTGAAAAATCGGTGTAAATTACGTCCACTTGTTGTTTATTTTCCAGAGCATTCAAAATATACTGGGTGTACAACAGTAGATTTTATTTATGTCAGCTTTGTTACCAGACTTGAAAATTGGCGTTATATAATTTGATTTCCAAATGAGGGGGAATTTTCCCAAACTAAGTGAAACTGAAAATAATAAGAATAATTTATCAATGCTATCATTCAGCCAACTCTCCGCAAAAACTATAATGTCGTAGTCAGTTAATGCTATGTATAGCTCGAGGTCCCTTAGTTTTGTTCTAATGCCACGTACATCTTGATAGTATATTTCTATATTACTATTTTCATTGAACAGGTTACCCTTTTTTAGTTTTTTTTTTTACAATTTTTGGAGATCCATTAATGTATCTTATTGTAATATTGTCCTCCCCATTCAATACTCTAGTACTTAGTTGTTCTCTTATATCCCTGAGATGATTTTGTTGTTTTATGGTTAGATCTGAACTAACTCTAACACCTGATTGTCGAATTCTAATCTTGTTTTTAAGAATTTGCAATACATTATTTAATTTTATTTTCCAGTCGAACTTTAATGGGTCTGGTAGTATTATTTGGTTTTCCTACACGGGTGACTTTCTTCACTTCAATATCCAAGCCCATACTGACAATGATTTCTTTAATTTTATTGGTATCATGGTTTATTTCATCACTAATGGTGGCAGCGTTAGTTTATGGAATATTATATACCTTCAAGTTCTTCGCTCTTTCGCGACGTTTTTCTAGTTCGTAGATCATGGTTTCCATGGCAGCAGCTGGATTTTGATAGGAATCAGCCACTGGAATGGAATTCATTTTGTTGACCAGCTCCATCACATCCATCACAAATACAAAATTGATCATCATTGATGACTGAATCGCACTTGTAGCACTTCATATCAATTCAAAATATTAAATTATCTACGCCACTGCAAAGATGAGTTAAACTGATCGCTCTGTTTTTATACAAGAGACAAAAACAACACTGTTTTTATCAAGTGCCCAAGATTTCACACTCTGAATGGCAATATTTTTTATATTATCCAAATTTATTGTATTTGTGGATATTTTTACGAAAGGGACTATTCACCATTTACTAAAGAACTAGGGCTAAACTATTTATCAAAAAGAGCAAACTGATTTTAATAACATATCACCGAGAAATAAATGTTTTTATAGAACTTCAGAAACAGGTGATAACTCTCTGACTGACAAATACTATCTACAATTATACAAAATGAGCCTTAAGGAAGCCACATTTGTAGAAATTGTAGTTATGTTCAGATTAGTAACAATGTATGTCACATCACTAAGAACATTTCAGCTAAACAGTTAATCAAAAAATCAAAGATGTTCCTCAAGCCCAAAATAAAGATAAAATGTGACAAACATGAATTACTTGAAGAAAGATTAGTGAAGAATACATATAAAATGTGAACTAAGTCAAAAAAGATGGTATGTTTAAATAACATCATTACCTAATTGTTGGAGCCAATCATCCACCTCTTGAGATGAAAACTTCAATCTGGTGTCGTTGTTGATATTGATGAGAGCCTTAGGATGGAAGGGATAGTTGAAGTCCATCTTGTTGAGTTTAATCTTGATTGAGAGAAGTTGCATAACACTCACTAAGTTCAACATGAATCCATCTCCAGCCAATGTTCTCTCTTCCATTCTCATTTGAGACCTACAAAAATTGCTTGAAGATTGCATAATAGGAAAATAACATATTTTTACCTTTTTTCGTTAAAATTCAAAACTTTTGCCACATAATTTAAACAACTATCTCTGCTTTGCTGATTGGCCATCAAAAAGTGGAAAATACGGTGTTGTAAACTCCTGGTATTTTCAAGTTCTGATTGCAATACTTGAATCAAGCTTTTATCGCTCGAGGAGTTACCTGAGAAAAATTTTTCAGCAACTTTAGGTTCATCTTCAGCAAACACTGAAACACTTAAAAATGGTCCAAGGAATGAACATCTCATAATCTCTCGACCTGGTGCTGGAGTATATGGATAAATATTGAATTGTGTTTGTCTTGTAATGAGAGTACATATAGGTCTTGAACCACATCGTATATCTGTCAATTCAAAAAGTGTCTGAAGCGGAATACGATGTTCGTCACCAACTATGGTGGAATGTTGCATCATTTTGAAGAGATCTTGTAAAACTGGGCTGAATATGTTACAAAAAAGTTGCTCTTCAGAGTGTGTCCTAGTTACTAATTCAGTCAGAAAACCTCTGGGTACCGACTGTTGGAGAATGGGATTCAGAAGTGGAGATTCCATTCTGAATACATTTGGTACTATATAACCTGAGAAAAACACAAAAATATGGATTAATACCAAGTTAATATTAAGACAAGGCAAAAAGAGGTAAAGTCCTGAAAAATTTATTATTTCAGGATGTTCATAATGAAAAATATTGAACTATTAAATGAAGAAAAGAGAATTGAAACTTTCTATGTTTTTTACCACTTTTACCACTAACAATGTATAAGTTTGAAAATGTCCTTATAGGATGAAACTGCAGTAACGTTAGTTACAAATAAAAATGGTGAAAAACAGAAGGTTTCAATTCTCTTTTCTTCATTATGATCTCCTACCACGTAATAACGGCTACATCCATCAATTTATTGAATTATTCAATAATTTTGAGAATGGTCAAGGCTTTCGCGATCGTGGTTTTCAGTGTCACTATTTTTCGGGCTTGAAGGCAGTGGATTTTTGAAATTTCATCCTGACATAATCTTAGAGATTACCTCAGGATGTATAAACATCTGAAGAAGCTTGCCACTTGGGCCAGCAAAAAGTCAGGAGGAAATTCCAAAAATTCACGGCCTTCAAACCCAAAAAATAGTGACACTAATTTTAAGAATACAGTTGACTCGCGACAGTCCGACACTATGTGACCGCGGGGGTGTCGAATTACAAAAAATGTCGGGTTACCAAAGATTAGCTTTATTTAATTAAATTTGCAGTGTATATATAAGCTTGGAAATATAGTTAATGATGAATTTTTATGTAATATTTGACTAGAAAAGATTCAAAATATGTAATGAAGTCAGACTTTAGTTTTTATAAAAGAAGAGAAATTTATTTAATATTAAATCATAACACAACATGAATCGGTTTTACAGGTTAAGGCAAAACCAACTAGATTAGTCTGATGACGGCGCAGCGTCAGACTACCGAGCGTGTCGGACCGTAAAGTGTCGGACTATTGCGAGTCAATTATAATTGATCTTCCTAGAAATCACTTGCTATTACATTGCTAAAAATGATATGTTGAATTCATCTTTTATTATTTGCTTCAAAATTTTTGGAAGCCGCTCGAAACAGTCCTTTTCAGTCCACAAATTGTTTTGCCAAAAAAGTGATTCAAAAGCACATTTGCATGCTTCCACAAAAAAAATACATTGCTTTCACTGCATTTCTTGAAAAGTATCACTCTTGTATAGAATCAATAAGTGAGTAAACAGTTTATTGGTTTATTTTGTACAAAGAATACAATACTCTCATGCCAATTTGAATAAATAAAGATTAAAAATGGAAGTTAAGTTAGGAAAAGGTTTTTCTGATTTTATTTGAAACTAAAAAAATCACTTTGCAATGATTTTTGCATACTGCATACTTTTTCAACCACTCTAATGATTTACCTTGTATTATGAGAGCTGTATAATGTATGAGCTGGGCCCTCAATTCAGTCAACAAGTCACTTAAAGGAGGTATACTGGATCTTTTTGGATGGTTCCTTTCTTCAACACTAACCCTATTATAAGAATCCATCAAAAACTTCAGTGCTGGCATAATCTGATCCCTATCAGTTTCTTCAGTACTTCTCATTGTCAGCAGAGGAATTGGGCATGATCCAGTAGCCGGACTAGGAGAAAGACTCAGATTCTGTGGACTGCCAGAAATAGAACTCAAACTAGCTGTCTCACATGCGTCAGTACTTATTTGCATTAGGTCTTTGAAAGGATTACCCCCATTTACAATTATATGCAATATTTCCATGATAGCTGTACAAATCAAGTCACGCATTGACATTTCAGGGTTTTCTTTGAGCTGAGCAGCAGTTTCAGGTAAGTACAAACTCGTTTCAGATGGTTTTTGAAATGTGGAATGCAGAACGCGTGTTAGCGACAATTTAAGCTGTTCTTCAGTTAGTTCTTTTGAGGAGGAATTAGTTCGCTGTTGCTGAATGTCCTTTTTCTGCATATCAGATTCATCCACCTTCATAAAAGCAAAATAAAATGTGTAATAAAATTTATTCCGAAAAGTCTGGATAATAAACATTTTTATCAAATTAAAATAATTCTGTTTGCAAAAAATTATTGGAGTTTCAACTCACAGCGGGTGAATTTTTGAGAAAGTTCTTTGGAAAATTTCTTGAAATATTATTGAGATTCATGGGTTTTCACACTCTTGAACCCAAAATAAAATGTTGAAACATTCATCTCTCCCAACTACCTACATAGTAGGTTCTGGTAAATGCCTGCCGGAAAACAACTACTTTTCCGGCTAATACCACGCTGGATATTGAATTACAACGACTTTATGCAAGATACCTCACAGTGGTTAGTTTCGCAGATATTTCTCGTTCATTCAACAGCAGGACCATGCTGAAATTATTAGAGTAGATTACCTACAGACCGGTTTCGAGGTATTACCTCTCATCAGTGCAGGAAAGACCCGACCCAGACAGCAAAGTGTCTGGGACTCAATTAGTCTCAACGTGGCTGCATAAAACTTTCTCTTAGACGAAGGCACTTTGCAATCTGGGTCGGATCTTTTTTGCAAAACCAGTGTTAAGGTGATCTACTTGAATGAGTTCAGCAGGGTCTTGCTGCTGGATGAACGAGAAACATCTGCGAGACTAACCTATGTGAGACAACTTGCATAAATGTCTGTCGGATATAATTCAATATCCAGCGTGGTATTAACCGGGGAAGTAGTTGTTTTCCGGCAGGCATTAACCAGAACCTACTGTATAGGTAGTTGGGAGAGATAAATGTTTCTTAATTTCATTTCTGAATATTTACTATCTTGTGAATACGTATCTCTCCAGGATACAGTCTTCAGACACGTTTTGATCTTAATTTAGTAATCGTTTCATTTCATGTGAAAACACATGCATATCAAAAATAGGAACTCAATTTTCATGAATACCCTATTATTACAAAACTTGGACTCAAAAAAGTATTGATATAAATTGATTATGAAGCAAAAATTATAAAAGATGCTCATAAATATTATTGTGTTTGAATGAAATGTTCATTTAAGCAAAACACTCAATTTAAGTGTAACAAATATGTTTGATAAATTTCTATATACCTACATTTCATTAAAATACAGTAACATTTTTCATACATGGATAAAATTAGTAATTGTTTCATTTTAGAGGAGTGAAAACACATACATATCAAAACTAGGAACTCAATTTTCATTAATACCCCGTTATTATGAAACTTGGACTTAAAACAATTGCTGATATTTTTATAACAATAAAATTGAAAATATTCAAATTTCACAAACAAGTATTGGTAAAATATTTTAAAAGAAATCTTTGGAAATAAGAACTACAAGGAAATGCAACTAGATACATAGAACTGAAGGATAATTTGACAAAGAATAAAGAAACAAAGGAGCTGAACCAAACATACCTCCATATTTTCAAAGCCTGAATCAATGTCTGTATTTGCACCAACTTTATCTGCATAACCACTCACTTCATCAACCTCCATATGGGTAGAACTTGTTTCGGAGTCACTACGCTGCAGAGGAGCCCTAAATCTTGTCTTAGAGCTCGAAGGCATACTTATATCAATAGGTTTACTAGGTTTTTTGAAAGTTTCTCTAGTTGGGTTTTCATAATCATCTTTCATATTCTTGGTTTCAAGCTTAGGGTCCTCAGTTGCAGAACTGTTAGATTCAAAAACCAGTGGACTCTGGGTTCTGAGAGGCATAACTGGTGACTGTGACATGGGTGTAATAGGAGGTGATACCGAACTTGAAGGAGAAACATTTTCTCGGGTTGTAAGACGAGCTAAACGTCTTCGTCTGATCTAGAATAACTCAAAAGTTTAGAAACTTATCATGCTTTCAAAATGTAAATAAATAAATGTAATATCATTCAACTGATCAGAAAAAGAAACATGCTATCAATAGAGACAATGAATAGAGCATGGCAAGGATATGATAATCAGACAAAAACCTCAAACAAATCCTGAACTTACCTCTTCCTGGCTCAATTCACTCATAGTTTATTGTAAGTGCAATGAAGATTCACCCAAATATATTATTAATTTAGATAAACACCTATCAAATAATCACTAAACCAATTTACAGACGTCAAAGTAATGTCAGTAACCCCTATAACAGCTGAGTTTGAACAATGACATTAGAATATTTGCAAATCACCTCCGAATTCTTTTTTCCTATCACAGTCTAACCTCAAAGCACTATTCACTATTATGAAGAGTATTGTTATCTCTATCTATCTTTCACAAAATGAAATTGGCATTTCACCTACGCCATAATGATATTTTGAGCTTTGGATGTTGCCAAGTGATTTATTTTTGGCAAACAAGTGTTACCAATCTTTACACTTGGCTGGCTGCACTTCGCTGACGAGGTCAATAGCCAGTAAATTTTGCCCCCTTTCGTAAGTGTTATGACCGCGAATTCACCTTTTTGATTGATATCAAATAAGTTCAATTCGTATTGATTTTTATGGAATTATTTTCCAGCAGCTATATTACATTGACCTTTCTCCACTTCATATCATTTCTAGAAATATGTGGATTCGTCTTTCGATGACTCAGATTAACAAAAAACAATAGAGAGGCCTTTTCCATCTTTTTATTGAAGGCAGTATAACTTTGTTTATTTACGGGAAGTAAGTTGGACCATAAAACAGTGGTGTTTGGTTTAGTTGATAATCGGAGGGATATTATATATTTATAAAATAAATCATTTCAGGTGAAAATGTATTCTGTTCAACTAGTTCCTACAAGAAATCTGATTTATTATTAATGATTATGAAAATGGGGCCAGTTTTTCTACCACCTAGTAGATTTTTATTTATGTATGGCTTTATAATAAAGCGCATGATTTACTGGGTTAAAATTGAATTATTTCAAATGAACTAATTCATAATAATGATAAATGTTAATTTCTAAAGTAATGAACTTTGCTTCATAAAATCAGATGAAGAAATTTGTGATTTATTCTCAGATTTGCGGTACGGTTTGTGAGGTCGAATATAAAGAATTTTCGATTAGAAATCATGAATATTTATAATTACGATTGAGGTTTGATATTATTTATGGAAGGGGATATTTTGGATGTTTTTAATTATCATTTTTTTGATCTTATTCCATATCCCAAGCAAAAAAAGGTTAGAGGCTCTCGCCTCTCGCACGAGGCGAGAGCCTCGTGCGAAGAAAAAAAACCAAAACGGAAATCATATCCTTCGTGTGACCTAAGTTAGTTTCTAAGTGAGAAATAACAGATTTAACACCGGTTGCACAAGAATTACTATTTAGTATACAAACTGAACATTGAGCAGAAACCTTTTTAGTCTGTTGGTCACAGAATGAATATGACCTATAGCACACATATGAAAAACATATTTTTCATGTTTGAATACAGTTTTTTTCATATACATTAATGATTTTTCGTGATTATAGAATTCGTCAGTATGAATTATTAAAAAAAACATAATGTCGGTGCAAAAAGGCCCTTGGATACCAATTTTGAATGAAATCACTTAATAATATCAAACCGAACCGCTTGTTCTTCAAATCTGAGAATAAATCACAAATTTCTTCATCTGATTTTACAAAGCAAAGTTCATTACTTTTGAAATTAACATTTATGAATTAGTTCATTTGAAATAATTTAATTTTAACCCAGTAAACCACTCGCTTTATTATAAAGCCATACATAAATAAAAATCTAGTAGTTGGTAGAAAAATTGGCCCCATTTCCGTAATCATTAATAATAAATCAGATTTCCTGTAGGAAATATAATATTCCTTCGATTATCAACTAAACCAACCGCCACTGTTTAATGGTCCAACTTACTTCAAATGTAAACAAATTTTCCATAACCTCTCATTACCCGCCACTCCCCTCCCCCCCGCCAATAGGTTGTACAGAAAAGGATAGTCCCATACCCGCTTCAAAATACATGTATTGTATTGGTATAGGCACCGTATATGCATGGCAACTCTATGTCTTATCATTACTCTGAGTTCGATGACATTCCAGGATAGTTTCCCAAATTTCTGCTATCGTGGTTGTCGGTTGAGATTATGTCGGTGGTTGATTGGTCAAACCACCAACACTGCCATAAAAACTTGGCAAGTTGACTTGGGTGTCACACCAATAGGTGGTTTCACTTATGTTACGCTTGCGTTTACGCAGTTATTTTTATTAAGTACTTTTCTTGGTTACTTCAATCGGGTATAGTTAGGCAAGCCACAGATTATGCTGTAGACGACCCCTCCCGATATAGAAGGCCCCGACACTCTGTCGAATGAGGCCCTCATGTCTCCCATTAACGGATGAACAACTTTCTCATCCATCCCACCCCAGCCAGGTAGGGTTATCCCGTGAAGGGCGGCACTGATGTCTGAGGACTTCATGCCGTCATACCATCAGTCATGAACCCATTGGTCCTCCTCCAACCTGAACGAATTGAGCACAACTAGTCTGGTTGTCTTCAATCGAGGACCGCCTGTCCGGTATTGACGATGCCCTACAGGCTGAAACAACTGTCTACCGGTAGCTCTTAAACTGAAATCAATATGGGAGTATCAGAGTATCTATATATAACTTTCGATTTTCATGGAATTATTTTCCAGCAGCTTGACTGCATCAACCTTTCTTGATTTATATAAGATGATATCAAAATAGCTTGCAAGAAATCAGCTAACTGGCGGTTGAAAGTTAAAAGCATTTTTGAAATTTGGCAACATAGAGTTCAATTATAATTATTTTCCATGTTCTCTGACTTCGTACACATTCATCCCAAATTATCCCCTCTACGCGCTCATGAGTTTTTTCTTGATCTAGAGAAATTTGTATTATGTTTATTTGCATATTCACAAATCTATTTTCATTCTCACGAACTTGGCGCTATAGTCACTTCCTTTTACGCGTTTTAAATAATTCAGGGTCATTATAAATTTACTCACATTGTAGAACAAAGTAAAGATGACTGATATAACTCTATTTTGAAGCCAAAATCATTGTTGCATACACTTTTACAAAATGGTATACTCTGGCGTTAATTTTTTTAAAAGGGTGTTTTTCTTCTTGAGATCCATATACATTTCGTTCAAGTCTCTGGAAAATACTGCAACCTTAACGAAATTCACTTCAATCTTCATAGTTTACAAAATGGTGTTCCGCAAGTATCAAGTTAAAGTGTAACTCTCACTATATTTTATGATCATATATGGAAAGCATGAGAAAAAAAACTGTAACGAAGTTACTATTTCTCACGTATCGAACTTATTTGTCTACGAGTAATTCTTCGGTTTTTCTATTACAAGTCTTGCGTTTCAAACAGAATAATTGAACCTCAGTTAAGTCTTCGTATGAAAATATTGTCCTTGTTGGAAAATTTTCAGGAGAATTTCCATTTCATGCGCGATAGTATAGCGATGACGTACACCACCTCGTCAGAGCCACAGATTGAGTATTTAATCTGTGTCAGAGCTAAAGGTAGGGAACGTGTCTGGGGGGTGCGATTCGATATGTTTCCGCGAGACAGCAAAAATAAGCAGCCTATTCAGACCACAAGTATAATGTTGAAAATACCAGTAGTTTCACTTTTGTCGGAACATTTGGTATTTCTGTCTCACAGTTTTATTTTTTAGAACTATACTGGATTTGTCAGCATTTAACATTCCATACACTGGTCAACAAGTGAATAATATATATAATAAACTGCTCGACAGTTGAAAACATTTTATAGAAAAGAATGTGATTGCTGAATATTGCTCTTTTTTGTTTTTTTTGTTTGTGGTATTTGCCACTTGGACTACCTTTCCTTCGCGCGTCTCCTCCCACGTTTTTCGATCCTTTGTGGTATTCGCTACTTGGATCATCTATTCGAAACTTCTCTCCGTGTTTCTGGCCCTTTGTGGTATTCGCCACTTGGATAATCTATTCGAAACTGTTCTCCGCGTTTCCGGCCCTTTGTGGTATTCGCTATTCACGTTACCTTGCCTTCACGCGCCTCCGCGTTTTCAATCCTTTATGGTATTCCCCACTTGGATCATCTGTTTCAATTTTCTATCCGCGTTTCCGACCCTTTGTGATATTCGCCACTTGCCACACGTCTCCTTTCACGTTTTTCGATCCTTTGTGGTATTCGCTACTTGGATCATCTGTTCGAAACTTTTCTCCGTGTTTCTGGTCCTTTGTGGTGTTCGCCACTTGAACTTCTTTTTCTTCATACCCCTCTTCTTACGTTTTCCGGTCCTTTGGGATACTACCACTTATATCATCTATTCGAAACTGCTCCCTGCGTTCCCGACCCTTTGTGATATTCGTCACTTGCCATACGTCTCCTTTCACGTGTTACGATCCTTTGTGGTATGCGCTACTTGGATCATCTCTTCGAAACTTCTCTTCGCGTTTCCTGTCCTTTGTGGTGTTCGCCACTTGAACTTCCTTTTCTTCATACGCCTCTTCTTACGTTTTCCGGTCCTTTGGGGTACTCACCACTTATATCATCTATTCGAAACTGCTCCCTGCGTTTCCGACCCTTTGTGATATTCGTCACTTGCCATACGTCTCCTTTCACGTTTTACGATCCTTTGTGGTATGCGCTACTTGGATCCTCTATTCGAAACTTCTCTTCGCGTTTCCACACCTTTGTGGTGTTTGTCACTTGGACTACCTTTTCTTCATACGTCTCCTCTTACGTTTTCCGGTCCTTTGGGCTTCTCGCCACTTATATCCATCTATTCGAAACTGTTCTCTGCGTTATCGGCCCTTTGTGGTATTCGCCACTTGTGCCACTTGTGTCTTCACACATCTCCTACGTTTTCCGACCCTTTGTGGTATTCGCTTCTTGAATCGTATGTTCGAAATATCTCTTCGCGTTTTCTGCCGTTTTTGGTGTTCGCCACTTGGACTACCTTTTTTTCACACGCCTCCTCCTACGTTTTCCGGTCCTTTGGGGTACTCGCCACTTGAATCATCTATTCGAAACTGCCCTCCGCGTTTCCAGCCCATTGTGGTATTCGCTATTCATGTTACCCTGTCTTCACGCGCCTCCGCGTTTCCAATCCTTTGTGGTATTCGCCACTTGGATCATCTGTTTCAATTTTCTATCCGCGTGTCCGGCCTTTTCTGATATTCACCACTTGCCACACGTCTACTTTCACGTTTTTCGATCCTTTGTGATATTCGCTACTTGGATCTTCTGTTCTAAACTTCTCTTCGCGTTTCCTGTCCTTTGCCACTTGGACTACCTTTTCTTCACACATCATCTCTTACGTTTTCCGGTCCTTTGGGGTACTCGCCACTTATATCATCTATTCGAAACTGCTCTCTGCATTTCCGGTCCTTTGTGGTATTCGCCACTTGCCACGCGTCTCCTTTCACGTTTTTCGATCCTTTGTGGTATTCGCCACTTGGATCATCTGTTCGAAACTTCTCTTCGCGTTTCCAGTCCTTTGTGATGTTCGTCATTTGGACTATATTTTTTTCACGCTTCTCCTCTTACGTTTTCCGGTCCTTTGTGGTATTCGCCACTTGGAACATCTATTCGAAAATGCTCTCCGAGTTTCCGACCATTTGTGGTATACGCCTCTCATGCTACCCTGTCTTCACTCGCCTCTGCGTTTCCAATCCTTTGTGGTATTCGCCACTTGGTTTATGTGTTTGAATTTTCTATTCGCGTGTCTGGCCATTTGTGATATTCACCACTTGCGCCACTATCACGTTTTTAGATCCTTTGTGGAATCCGCCACCTAGATCATCTGTTCGAAACTTCTCCTTTCCGGTTCTTTGGGGTGTTCGATACTTTTCTTCACGCGTCTTTTACGTTTTCCGGCCCTTTGTGGTATTCGTCACTTTACGTTTTCCGGCCCTTTGTGGTATTCGTCACTTGGGCTTCCCGGTCTTCACGCGTTTCCTACATTTTGCGACCCTTTGTGGTATATGCCACTTGGATCACTTGTTCGAATCAGCTCTCCGCCTGCTCCCACCTGGGCTATCTTTTCTTCATGTCTCCTATTACGATTTCCGGTCCTTTATGGTATTTGCCACTTGAACCATCTGTTCGAATCTTCTATTCATGTTTTCGACCCTTTGTGGTATTCTCCACTTTGAGTTGTCTGTTTGTTTATACAGGATTGAATAATGTAGCTCAAGTGGGTAAGGAAAGGATATTATATTTGAGGTGGATAGCACAGAGCTTCTTATACCCGATTTCTTCATTAATCGTGGTCGATGACGTTTCCTGCCTACCGTTAGTACCGCTCAGCTTATTTTAATCCCTGCCGTTTCGTTTCCTTACTTGCTTCGATTCACGCCCTATAACTAGTTAGCGACCGTATAGTAGAGTTGATTTTGTTTGAAGTAAAGAGTTGAAACCGATTTGTTTGTTTATTTTCTCAGAATTAGTAAAACATCTTTGCAAATGGGACACAGGCTGAATTCCCAGCAAAGTTAAGTTTATATATAATTTTCTGGCTACACAAAAGTGAGACAAAGGGAAAACTATATGAGCAAGCCATAACGTGAATATATTATCTATCCAGAAGACTTCAGATATGTTTCCAACTTTTTCTTGCAATTATATATGAAGTAGTGTCTAAATTCACTGGGCAGAGCATTATATTGTTTGATACAGTTGTAAATAAAACTACAAGAGAAGCAGGCTGTCGAGTGTTGTGGAATAATAAAAGTGTTTCGTGTCCTCGAATCACCTTTCGTGTTTTGGGCCAGAAAGTATCAGCTGAAATTTTTTAGAATTCAATTTCAGGTTATGGACTATAGATAGATCCAGTAACTTCTGTAAATCGCTGTTGATTTTTTCCATTGTCAACTGCTAGTTACTTGGAGGAAATCGATAATATAACTGAATGTCACTTGCATAATGATGAACTGTGCAATGATCAATTATTTAATGGAAGTCAGATATATACAGAGAGAGAACAAAATGGGACCTAGAATAGAGCCCTGTAGTACTCCATGGTCAACAGGAGTACTACACTCAGACACACTGTCTGAGTCCGATTTCTGAGGTAACTTTTCAATAGATCTACAGTCCCTTCACTAAATCCAAAAAATTACATTTTCCTACTTATAATATTGTGTCGTCTAATGTATTGAATGCTTTACTGTAGTCCAAGAGTATCATGGCAGTTACTTCATCATTACCAGTTGCTATAGAATGCACGAAATCCAGATTGAACAATTTGATCTTTCAAAATCCGTTCGAACACCTCAGATAGGATAGGCAGTTTACTAATTGGCTTCAAATGAAATAGTTCAGTTGGATTTTCACATTTTGGCAAAGGGAGTACAATTGGCATGTTTACATACAGAAGGAAAATGATTTGTTCACAAAAACACGTGTTCTGGTTTGATAAACTGTTTAGTGAAAATTCCACAATGAAGTGTTACGAACTTTCATTAAGTATCGGTAAATTGCAACAAATATATCGCAGTAGATTTCATAGAGCTTTGTCTGTCTCATGCGATATATTTTCTCTGCCATCGATAAGTCGAATAGGAGTCGATTTCCAAGCTTGTATCGCATACCAGCTCACATATTTTTCATTGTTCTACTATATTATGTTTAAATGGTATATTTCTGTGAGGTAACTATGAAAAATTGAATGTAAATAGGTAATATATTAGTTTTACGAAATATTATGTTAGTTGAAACTGAAAGGGGTATATTTTTAGGGGAGATTGATTTTCGGGAAAGAAAAGTTTTGGCTTTCTACTTCTCCATCTTTATTTGAAATAATGTGGGGAACTTGTATAATTCGGTGTTCGAAAGTATTTTTCTTTCGTGTAATTCAATGTTCATATGAGAGTACCTATTTCGAGAGGGTTTTTCTTCCAATTTGTGTTTGAAAGTTACTTATTTGCATTATATACACAATTTTGTGTAGAGTAAATTCTTTGGAACTGATTACTCCTTTTTTTTTGGAAGGTTTCCATATTTTTTGTATAAAGATGGAGAAGTAGAAAGCCGAAACCATCATTTTCCATTATGTTAGTTATTTTAACAAATACACTCTCATAATGTTTGTTATTGATATGTGACTTGTTCATCACACCACTTTAATGAAATGAATGCCAAATATTGTCTCTTCACCTACAAAGTTTTTCGTTGGAATCTTCTCACAAAGTGAAATTGATTCTAGTATATTCAACGAATAATATGGATAAGTGGTGTGTGTGCAGTTGTAAATCAGGTTGGATTTGTTTCCAGGGTGTACCAATTTTATGAGTATTCAATATTGTCACGTCCATGATGAATCTAACAAGTCCATCAAATGAACAAATCGCCACTAACAGGGTCGACAACAAACGTACTGATGACTTTTAGCCAGTGTTGATTCATGTTTCACCACTTGTTGCACTATTTTGTGCTGGGCCCCATCTTTTGGAAAATACCTTGATTGATAACTTGAAGAAATTCGTATCGTTTCATTGATTAGTCCTGGTAGCCAAGACCAATGAAGATTGAAAAATGAAAATCATTACAGCTGTCAATTCCTTTTTTAGATCGTCTGAGTTATTCATTGAATTTCACACATGGACTTCCTCTCCGATCGCGACAGAGGACAGTGTTACTGATAACTTAAAACCACAACGATATGTTTCATAGATGTGGGGCAAACTGTAAAGCCATTTGAGGGGTGTGAAAGGAAAGTTTCCATGCATCTAGGTTGTTGTCTAAAGACACTTCTCTTCTATTTAGCTGAATGAATGACATTTTTTTACTCTTCTGTGAAATGACAATTGAGTACGTGGAATTAAGTGTCAAAACATATTTGATTTCGTGCTTGGCGTGGCGGTGACGTGTTGCTCAGTAACCAGTAGAAAATTATTTTCTGTTTGAAACAGGACTTTCTCTCGTGAGTTTATTCACGTCACAAGTGTTCCAGTCAACAGTTAATTCGCATTAGTGCCAAGAAGTGTGTTTGTGTTGTAAAGTAAAACTATAACATAAATTATGTCCAAATCGCAAAACAAAGGTTTTACCAAGGAAGAAGAACTATTGCTTCAAGATTTCAGCAGAAATGTGTCCACCAAATCATCTGCCTTATTTTATGGTAATGCCCTAATTGTCTCCACTGTTCCAATATGGTTATTCTGGAGGATACATATGATTGATATTTATTCATCTCTAATACTATTTGCTGTTGTGACTGCTGTTTCTACATACCTTTTGGCTATGGCATACCGAAATACCAAATTTACATTGAAACACAAAATTGCAGTTAAGAGAGAAGAGGCTGTTACCAGAGATTTGACAAAAAAGTTGGCTGATGACAAGAAAATGAGTAAGAAGGAAAAAGACGAGAGAATTCTGTGGAAGAAAAATGAAGTTGCTGACTTTGAGGCTACAACGTTTTCAATATTTTACAACAATGCTTTATTTTTAGCAGTTGTTATTCTATCTAGTTTTTATTTGCTTCAGTCTTTCACTCCAGCCGTAAATTATACCTTATCCATTGGAACCACTGCTGGACTTCTTGCTCTCCTGTCAACAGGTTCTCAGTAAATTACTTAGTATTTTTTTAAGCATTTGTTTTCTATTTATTATTGTAGTAATCATTAATTTTCTAAATATAAATTTGGTTATATAATACATAATAAAAACATTTATTTCTCCAATTCGGATGTAGCAGAAAGCTTATTTATTTGATACCTTGAACATTTGAATAATTTTATACATATTTGAAAATTTTAATGAAGTAACTCTACTCCGCTACTTCTTATGGAAAATATTCATTTTAATTGACTTTAGCAGGAGACATAATTAATACTGTGACATTAGTTCATGAGGGAATATTCAAACTCATTGGTAATATATTTACCGTATGGATCATAGTCAAACATTGATCAATTTTCTTAGGAAGAAGGTATTTTTTTTATTTTTATTATAAAATTGTAAAAAAACAATAAAATAAATGTATTGCATTCCACTTGGATTGTAGCCATATTTACAGATACAGCTGGACAAAAATATTGTAATGTAAAAAATTATGGTTTCATCAATACACATACTTGATATGAATACTTCTGATTAAAGTGATTTACATGAAAACAGTTATGGAATGTACATAATTTATGAATGAAAAAACATTTACCAAAGAAAAATTACTATTTGTTTTTATTATCAGTGAAATCAATTAGATTTGCTTTCATGGTTTTTTTAAAATATGAAGCCATCAACATATTTAAGTTATTAAAATTGCCAGGAAATTGTTGGTGACAACATATCGAAATACTTCAACTGTTCCACTCATAAAGTAATCATATTGAGTAGTTGTACTACAAGGGTTGCGGGTTGCTGTGGAGGGTCGAATAGACCCACTCACTTTCAATCTAACCTCCTAAAAGTAACCCGCCCAACAAAAAAACACAAAAATTTTGGGAAGAAGTGTATTTATTTTTCAACACAATCTCCTTACAGCTCTATACACTTTTCCCAGCTACGTTCAATAAGTTAGAGACCATTTTTATTATAAGAACTGTCTTGCTTCTCAAAATAGTCATTAACTGCAGACATCACTTCTTCATCGTTGGAAAATCTTTGACCACTGAACAATGTTTTCAAGGTTGGGAACAGAAAATTATCTGTGGGGTTAAATCTGGCGAATGGTGCATTGTCATGATGAAACAACCGCTTTGTGGATTTGGCCTTGTTTAAACTAGGCTACCCAATATCGTACTGTTGCAAACGAAGGAGCAGACTCACTCAGAGTATATTCAAGTTCAGCTTTTATATTGGTTGGGCTAAGGCCTTTCAAATAAAAGTATTGTACCACAAGGATGACCAATTTTTTCCATTTTCACAAATTCACCAAAAACATTCGCTCTTGATGGCTGTCAAACAAATACTAACCAACGCAGCGTCTTCAAATTTGAAACATGCTTTATAGATTATGTATTTTCTAATACAGTGATATTTTTCAAACAACTACCGCCATCTCTAGGTTAGACCGGGTACTTCTGGGACTAGCCTCGGACATCAATCAACAAGTGACTTACATAGCGTAATGTTCAATTTGAAATTGAGAATATGTTGGTTACTTGATTACTTACATAGCATCTGCTATGTAAGTATAAACATTGCCATTTCCTTTGAGAAGAACTCACCACCACGTGCTTATTTCTTAACTAAAATAATCATTATTCAGTTAAAAGAACTGAAAATCTCAATTATTCTTTCTAGATAGCCATTACTATATTAATATTCTACGAGCTGTAGGAGTGTTTCCAAATGAGTGTTTTTGATGATTTTTCCCAGGACTTCGGTCGATAGCCAGTTGAACAAAATTGTAATTTTGTTCAATAAATTACAATTATTATTATTATTTATGTTATGAATATAAAAAACCTTAATGTAAGACTAATTTCAAGACATTGTCACTCATAAAATATAAAATAATAGATGTCATGAACACATTTAATTGTTTATGTAACTATAATTTCTACTGTTTTTCAAATTATTACAAGAACGATTACCACCATCCATTCTGCGGCATTGATGTTTCTAATTACCTTAAATTCGTGCCAGTTCAAGGCATTTCATTTTGTTCTGGAACCTGTAACGGTTGCTAAAGTTGAAAGTGCAATACTTTGTTGCGGTCGTTCAAATAGCTGTGATTCTTATGATATCAACAGCAAAATCTTAAAATATTCTCTTGGAATTTTTCTGAATCATTTTTTATAATTCTGATAAAATGTTTCGGTTAAGGTGTATTTGCTACTGCTTAAAATTATCTAAAATGGTGCCTATTGTTGAAAAAGGTGACATTACAGACCCTCAAAATAACAGGTCATGAGAGACACAATAAAAGCTTTCATGAGGTCACACAAAATTAAAGCAGTAAATTTACCTTCTTGGAATCCTTATATGATTGCAGCGACAATTTGACAGACAGCGTTAACTGTTAATCTACCTGCACAAAAATCAAATTGGAATTTTTTGAAATAGGCAGTTTTTTAAATTATTTCTATAACTTTGCTAAAGATACAGATTATAGAGATTGGTCTGTTATTTTTAGGGTCTGTAATGTCACCTTTTTCAACAATAGGCACCATTTTAGATAGGTAATTTTAATTCTTTTTACACTTTTATAGCAAACAAACTTACACAGAAAAACCGAGTTTTCTCTGTTTTTCTGCTTCAAGTTTTACCAAAGTACTCAAAAATGAGTTTCGTGCAGTGGAAAGAAAAACCAGGTAGGTATTTGGTAATATCATTTGAAAATGGTCAAAGAGGTCTTTAATTGTTTTTGTGTTAACCAGCTATTGCCCCTATATATGAACTGCATCCTTAAAAGTTGAATCTGAGGCTTTAATGAGATTCTAAACTAACACTAGCATTTCTAATAAATAGCTGGCGTGCAATCGGTTCATGATGAAGCTAAAGGAAGGGGTAACTTATAGAATAAATTCACTAATAACGTTTTTTGTGACAACAAAGAAAATCAATATCTTGACAGCCATAAAGTCGGCACAACTAATATCTAGCGTTACCTATTGTGCTCCAAAAATGTACAATCAGTTAAATATTGTGAAATCAAATAGAAGTTACAGTATAATTTGAATTTGAACCACACTGTCTATAATAGGTATATATTTTATATTAGAACAAATGGGCTTGAAATAGCAAACCAAACTAAAAAGTGGAAAAGTATAACAATGGATATTTAGCACGCCACGTTTTTTTACCAAAATTATGTTTTTGTAAATAGATTTACTCTGATTTCAGACTTATTAAAAGTCATTAGTTACATCAAGCCATAGGACTTATTATCGATGTTGAAATCTTGAATTATTTTGTGTTGCTATTGAAGCGTGTTTTTTTTTCAGTTTTTTAACCATTATTTATTAGTACATACGTATCTCTCCTCGATAGTCTTCAGACTCGGTTTGATCTCTGTTAGATTACCTATTGGTGGTACCTACATGAGATGTTTCATTCCCGCTTGGAAAATACTTATATGGTTCTGAATGATTTGATGTTTAGTACATTCCACCAGAGAAGTTGGAAATAACTTGAATTAGTACATCAATCAGTTATTATGTCTCTAAGGACCTGTTATATGCTGCTCAAGCATATAATGATATAACTTTTACAATCCTTGTTAACTAAAAATTGTTTTTTGTGATTTTACAATTCAAATTTAAAACGTTGAAATAAATCAATGCTCGGAGGTTTGAAAAAGAGTCAATGAGACTCATTTGTTCAACTCTAAAATAATAGAATTTCTGACAATTATCATTAAAAAGAGTTGCCAATAATACACCAAACGCCTACTCCTATTTATTGCAAATACTTCCGTTTTTGTCATCTCTCGATGATACTAACTGGGTTACTGAAAAGCGCGGCGAAAGACGGTATTCTTTTCTGGAGGGGAAAGTGATTTCAATAGATTATAGATTCATTTTACGCCAGAGGTTCCGATTGAACCTATCAAGCCTCCATGAGTGAGTATTTGTTATTTAGTTCAAATGTTAAGTTAGATTACAATACCTTCATAACGAGTTCATGTGAATGGTGGTGATATTCCCAAGAAAGTAGTAAAATTTTTTTTCAACATTTATGCAAGATACCTCACAGAGAGTTAGTCTCACAGATGTTTCTCGTTCATCCAGCAGCAGGACAATGCTGAAATTATTCGAAAGTAGATCACCTAAACATCGGTTTTGAGGTATTACCTCTCATTAATGCAGGAAATATCCGACCCAAAAACAAAGTGCCTGGGAGTCGATTGATTTCAAAACGGCTCAACTACCACTAATGTACGAAACTATCGCCTAATAGTGACAGCTTCATCTCGTGAACTAAGCTCCAGGCGGGAAAGAAACATCCCATATACCGATACTCTAACAGAGGTCAGACTGTGTCGAGGAAAGATACATACGTACGAGAAAATGAATATTTCGAAATAAAATCTCGAAACATCAATTTTTCCCAATTACCTAGACCGCCTGCCGAAAAACAACTACTCCGAGTATAAAGTAGGAAACGTACGTAGATAATTATATTGAATGCCTGTCTACCGCCATCCGAGTTAGCGCTAGGAGTCTAACCGTTTACTAGTATCATCACGCGGCTCTTACGTTTTCAGATCCTTCGTGGTACCTATTCGTCACTTGGATCATCTGCTCAAAACTTCTATCCGCGTTTCTGGCACTTTGTGCCACTTGGACTACCTTTTCTTCACACATCTCTTACGTTTTCCGGTCTTCTGTGGCATTCGCCACTCAGACCATTCTCTCCGTGATTCCGGCCCTTTGGGTATTCGCCACTTGAGTTACCTGGTTTTCACGTCACCTACGTTTTCCGATCTTTTGTGTGGTATTCGGATAATCTGTTCGAATCTGCTTTCCGCCCTCTGTGATATTCGCCACTTGGGCTACCTGGTCTTCACGCGTCTCCTACGTTTTCTGACCCTTTGTGGTAGTCACTTGGGTCCGCGTTTCCGGTTTTTGTGGTATTCGCCACTTGGGCTACCTGGTCTTCACGCGTCTCCTACGTTTTCTGACCCTTTGTGGTAGTCACTTGGGTCCGCGTTTCCGGTTTTTGTGGTATTCGCCACTTGGGCTACTTTTTCTTTACCCGCCTCCTCTTCCGATCTTCTGTGGTATTCGCCACTTAGATCATCTGTCCGAAGCTTCTCTTTGTGATTTCAGCCCTTTGTGGTATTCGATACTTGGGTTTCCCCTTTCTTGTTTCCGGTACTTCTGTATAGGTATCGTCGTCGCTCTCAAAACGTCGGGGATGCGCCTGCGGAATCCGAAGCGTCATCCGTAATTCGTATATTTATACGGAGTCACAGAATATACTTGAAGTAGGTGAGGGACAGGCATTACGTGCTAGGTGAATCGCACCGAGCTTTTAATACCCGTTTGCTTCATTAACCGTGGTTGATTGCGTTTCCTGCCTACCGTTAGCTTATTTTAAACCCTAGACGTTTTGTTTCCGTACTCACTTCTTTGCACGCCCCTCCGTCCCGGTAACTGGTTACAGTAGAGTTGATTTGGTTTGAAATAAAAAGTTGGAACCGGTTTGTTTGTTTATTTTCTTAGGATAGTGAAACATCTTTGCAGCTGGTAAACAGGTTGAATTCCCAGCAAAGTCAAGTGAAATTCGACTTTTTGGCTATCGATTTTGTCTAGTTCACTCAGACCCCTGTAGCTTTTCGGGGTAGTGGTACCTTGTGCCACCTAAAATTCCAATCTGCAGTAACTTTTTTGTCAGATCTGATACCAATTTACTGTTATGATAAGAAAAATCTACATAGTCAAGTATATCTTGCATTTCATAGGCACTTATCAAAAATCATACCAATATATTGAACCTAAATGTCAGTTGAATACTTTTCACTCTCATATTTATTCAACTCATAAAAGTTTTTGTCAAAAGCTGAAGGTAGAGAGAATTTTTGGACTGAACTTTTGTTTTAATAAACAAAACATATGGAAACTGAAAAACAAATCTAGGGTCATGTAGAGAATAAAAACAGATCAAAGTTTTATCGAATATTTTCAGTTCACCACCAACTTCTACTGAGATTATCAAAATTATAATATGGATGTAATGAAATAGTGCAAAAGGAAATTTGCTCAAATACTGTGTATACTATACAATAAATCTTTATCTTCAAGGAAAGTTTTTTTCAATATAAAATTTGCAAGAGTCGCCCCATTGTTCAAAAATGGGAAGAAAAAATAAACAAATGAGCCTATCTGATTTTTCATTATTATCAAATATTTTAGGAAGAATTGTTAATAACGGATTTTTCCATTATCTGTATGACATGAAATTTCTTCATGATCAACAATATGGCTTTCACAAGTCAAGCAATACATGTTCTGAGGCGGTTGATATGATTAGCAAGATTTAGGATAGACACCAAAAATGTATGCGACATTATGTTGCATACATTATGCATTGCATTATGTTGCATACATTGTGAATATCCTTTGTTAGTCTATATACAAAGGTGTGGCATTTGACACTGAATCACATTTTTTTCTCAACTGCAAAGAATTGGCATCATAGGTGTAGCCTTGAAATGGTTTTAAAACTATTTATCAAAACTTAGACACAGGGTTATAATAGAGTCAATGTGGGGCAGCGCCCGATCTAGGGGGGGCAAACCGGGCAATTGCCCGGGGTGGCAAAAATAGGTTGAAATTATACCATCTATGGAATAATGCATGGGTAAAAGGCGGCAAATATTATGTTGTCCGGAGCGGCGAAATAGCTGGATCGGGCGCTGATGTGGGGTATTGCCAAGGGTCCCGCTGTTTTTCACATATATCATTTCATTGTATTTTGATAAATCTGTTCAGAACACCAAAAGTTACATCAGCTCAGACTCAACAGAATTATCAGATTGGCTAATCATCCACAAACTGAAAAAAATCATCATACATGATCATCACAAAAAATATATTATTACGGGTCTAGCAAAATAGAATAACAACAAATGAAGTCAAGTACTTTGGTCTATTTGTCATGGAAAGCCCATACTGATTATCTCGAAAAGAAATTGGCTCTTCCATTGAGCATTATGAAACAACGAATTTTAAATTCAAGGACATCTATTTTGTTCATTATAATTTTCACTCATCCATTGTCACTTCCAATATTGAACTGTCCTATGGTTTGCTACGTATCTTAAATAAATGAATCCACTCCAGATTCTATAGAACAAAACTCTAAGAAACATTTACCCTCTTTTAGATTAAAAGGGTATATTTTTGAGGAGAGATTATTTTTTTGAAAGAAAGGTTTTGGTTTTCTACTTCTGCACCTTGATACAAAAATGTGGGAATCTTCCAAAGGAAGGAAGCAATCAATTTCAAAAAATTAATTTTCTACAAAGATGTGTAGATCATGCAAAGAAGTAATTTCCAGACACAAACTGGAAGAAAAACCCTCTCGAAACAGCTATTTTCATATAAACATTGAATTATACGAAAGAATAATACTTTCGAAACAAATATACTTTTATATGAAAGAATAATACTTTCGAAACAAATATACTTTTATATGAAAGCTGAATTATACGAAAAACCACTTTTCTCTATTCCATTTGTATTCCAAACATTTGTAATGGAATCGAACCAGATATCATTCACAGGATACTGTTAAGTTTTTCCCCGTGGGTTGACCAATAATTGACTGCACTGAATAATCAACCTCAACTTTATTTTACTTTAAATACAATAAACACTTCAACTAAAACTTCAACTATTACTCGAATATCTATCGCCTTACTAGATCCCTTCGTGTACCATACTGTAACTTCCACTTGACTGTTTCGATATGCTCATGGCTAGCGATTATATATCGTAATCGAATGCGCTAGGAAATTTCGCCGAAATTCCGTCGAAATCGGTAGCATTATTCTTGCTACATCTAGAACGCCAGCGAACTTCGTACATTAGCGCGCTCTTAGCTACGTCACCATTAGTTTATAGCTATCAGTGGCGGTCGGCGTTATTTTCTTTAGGGCATGATTTACAACAATACATTAATGAACTCCAATTAATGCATTTACATCCGTCAAGTAGTATACCTACTGAAAAAGACTGCAACATGTAATTCACACCAAGAAATTCAAGTTCCATCATATAATACTCGCAAGAGAAATGAAATATGTGTACTCATGTGTATGTAATTCACACCAAGAAATTGAAGTTCATTCATATAATACTCGCAAGAGAAATGAAATATTTGCACCCATTAGATAAATGCAGACTCTAACACCGTGAGGAATTGTATACCAGTATGCTACAGAGGAACTATAATTTATATTAAGTTGTTTCAAAAGTATTGTTTATTTTAATGTCACGATTTTTGTAGCCTTATATCTTAATATTTATTCTACTGTATCATGGTATATACTGACCGATATATTGAATTTTGTAATCTTTACATTGATGATATTCATTTTATTGTATTGTATTTTTTTCAAATTTTAATTCAATACCTCTCTTCAGCTTATATGATATCGCTAAGCGATTTTCAACCAATTTTTCTCTACAAATTCGAATAGGATCGAAGCGCTGCCGAAACAGCCCAAAAACTAACAAGACATTTTAGCCTCGAAGATGAACCCTGAAGTGATCGATCTTCAGTAGTCCAGGACGAGGATTTGAGGACCCTGGTGGAGACTAACCCATCACAAACGGTGCGTAGGATAGCGGAAGGAATGTGCGTCAACTTTCATGCGATTTTGATGGTTTAAAACATATTGAACAAATCAAAAGACAAATTTTGTCAGCAGCAACCGGCACTAGGCAACAGAACAGGTCCGATCCTCCTCTTCGCCAACACCCGTCCGCACATTTTACAAATCACCGTCCGAAAATTGAACGAATTGAGTGTCAAAGTTCTGCCTAACCCATCATACTTCCCAGACAGAATTTATTGACTTGTGTTACTCTGGTAAAAGTGCACTGATTCAAATGGCACATATTTCAATTAAATTGAATAAGTATTCATTGCGTTATTACAGTTTAAATTAGACTCGTAAAAATTAACAAAACTTTTAAAACATTCCTTTTTCTAAATATTAAAACACATTTAATATATTTTTGATGTAGATATGTTTCAGATAATTATAAAAAGATTTCTTATTCAAAGTTCATTGTAGAAAACGCTCAGAGCGATAGAAAAAAATATGAATAAGTACCTAAAAATGAAAAAAAAAACTCTACAGTACATAGGGAGACGCGAAAGTTGCTATTGTGTTTTTATTCAACTCAGTCAACCAATTTCCAGGGCCGTAATTTAAAAGGGGATAATTCACACAATTATAATCAAATATTACCGAAACATCCTGAAATATAAAATTGAATTTAATTTCTCAGTATGAAACAAAAACTACAGGTCCGTATTTAAAAATTCAAAGATGGGGGTTGCCCAAATCAGATGACACACTGTATAAAAGATTCATGGACATATTCTGATAGCCCACCAATAGCAAAATGTGGACAGATTTTTAGTATATCTGTGAATAAAGAAGATATAGGCAAAAAAATAATTTGGGATTTTTTGGTTTTTTCTGTAAATCTCCACAACCAAAAGAGCTATATTTGATTTTTGACCATTGAACCATTTTGACCATTGAATAGGTCTCTAAAATACGCAACTTTGCCACAATTTAATCGACATTCTATCTCTTATCGTTTACGAGATCCCCATGTACAGAAACGAATTTGAATAGCCCTGTATATAATTCAAAACTAATGCAGACCTGTACTTGAGACATGAAAAAGTCATATTGCTTCAAAATTTTATTTAATTTTTTAAAACTATTCTGATGTTATCAACCATATTCATTTTTAACTTTATTGATACTTCAAATTGATTTTGTTTACTCATCTGATCATAAAATAATTTTTCATATGAACTAATGAGAATTATTTGACAACTAGATGGTGAAAGTAAATACATAATTCAAACACAAATTTATTGAAATATCAAGAATATTAAGAGGACAAAATTTGAATTCCTATTTTCCCAAACATTTAATGAAATGCTTAACACTTTGGAAAATACACAAAATAAATATCATAAAAGGTAAAGACAATATCTGGAAGGTTTAGTTGGAACCAAAAAAAAGAAATCAAGTTATCTTAAGTAAGTGAATAGAATTACTGTAAAATCAAAAAAACTTTTTTCATTTTCATAAAAATAACTTCCACTCTATCTTGACGACTTCCTAATTCTATTGAAATTGATAAGGTAGCATCAATTTGCGGAGGAAAAGTAGGTGATGCATTCTTTTGGGTTTGGTTTCAATGTCTTTCCACCAGGTTTCCAGCCAGCTGGACAGACCTCTCCATGTTCGTCAGTAAACTGGAAAGCTTGAACAAGTCGGAGGGTTTCGTCCACTGATCTACCTACTGGTAGATCATTGATAGTGATTTGCCTTAAAATTCCTGCAATAAAAAAATAAATCATACTCTGAAAACACTTAGACTTACTAAATTAATATTGTAGAGTAAATACAAATGCAACACTAATAACCACAAATCAATCAAACAATAAAAAGGAATGACTTCCTTTAAAAATTCTCTGATTGACTTATAAAAATGGACAGTTTTTGTAAATAGTATGATTTGAAGGTCAGTAATATTGTTGTGTTCAATGCTGAATTGATAATATATCTATTCACCCTAAAGTTCATTTATAAAAAAGATTGCACTCTTGCAATGTGCAAGAAACAATAACACAACACAACAAAGTTTTTGTTTCGGGGTTGAAATTAGATGATTNTCGGGTAACTTATCAGGAAATACAATCAATCTAGGGCATTTTGAATTCAAAACAAAGAGCCCCCAGAAAGTACCGATGGCTGTAATACATTGGCTGAGAGGAGGGAAGGAATGTTGGAAGTTGGAAGTACCAGGAATAAAAAAAAAACAGAAATTCGGAAACAAACCAAAACTTTCATAAGCTGCTAATTCTAATTACTTGATGAAGAATCAAACTTTTGGTGGAATTAATCTAAGTTTTTGCTTATGTATCCAAAAATGAATTCACGGACACATTCAATACCAACTACGTAAACCATATTGTGTTGAAGGCAGCTAAATGCCTTGGATTTATTATTCGATATGGCAATTCAAGTCTTAAGTATAGTTTACATGGGTCTAGTAGTCTCAATTCATGTCTCACAATGTTGCTGTTGAAAGAGTAAAAAATGAATTCTTAATATTTTGTGCTCATAAGATGGATATACCTATTATTGACCATAATTGTACCAAGGTCTTAGATATCCTTAATCTACATTTATTGAGTAAAACTAGAGAAAACTTTGATCTAGTTTTCATATTTAAGTTACCGATTTGCCAAATTATTGCTCCCGAAATCCTATAAAATATTTATTTATATGTTCCAAACATAATTTTAAGGTGTAGCAATTTGATTGCACACCTTGACTCATTAGGATATATTTTCTTATAAAAAAATGAACTTTTAGAAAGTCTACACTAATAAAAATATTAGGAATTTAAATAGCTTGCTTTTGTCCATAATGAATTGAAAATATATATATGTCCCTTACACACTATTATAACCTTAAACTGTATATAAAAGATACAAAACAAGTGATTCATAAAATGAAGATTATTATGAATTAAATTGAGTCTATCTGTTGATTTCGGGGTTGGTTTGTACCAAAAATAGTTTCTGAGGCTCCAGATAACCTAACAAATATAGTGATTGGAACATATTTTTACTAAATTCCTAGGATTAAAATTATGTTCACCATATGAAAACAAGAAACAATTCTTATAAATGAAATAATCAGTAACAATAGTTCAAGAACACTGAACCACAATTTCACTAAAACTTCTTGAATAGTTTTTACTTAGGGTATTTTTATATGGTGTACTGTAAATAAAACTTTAAAATTCTTTAAAATAAAATTGTCATCATTATTAAAATGTTCAAAGCATACCTTTTCCATCAATAATGAACAGTCCTCTGAATGGAATGCCACTCTCTTCATCCAACACTCCATAATCCTTAGAAATAGCACCTGATTTATCAGCGAGAACGGGAATTTTCATATCTCCAATGCCACCTTGTTTACGAGGAGTATTGATCCAAGCCAAATGTGAGAACTGACTGTCAGTAGAGCATGCGATAACAGCCGTGTTGATTTTGTCGAATTCATCAAAACGATCGGAGAAGGCTATGATCTCGGTAGGACATACAAATGTGAAATCCAAAGGATAGAAGAACAAGACAACATATTTTCCCTTGTAGTCCTCAAGTGAGATATCTTTGAACAGCCCATCAACAACGGCTGTTCCTTTAAATGCTGGAGCAGGTTTCTGTAGAGATGGAACAGGCATGATTCAACTGAAACAAAATGGAAATTTATAAAATGAGGCAACCCAATCGAAACAAAGTTAATTTTAGTTTGCCAATTTTTTCAAGATCTATATCACCACATACAAACTTTTTCTCAAAGCTTGATACAAATAAAAGGAATTATCATTACAGAAGTTGTAAATAATCCTTTCATAGTTAAAATAACTTTTTGTGACTTAATAATTCCGGACAAATTTAGTCTGCCCTTTGCAAATTCTAAAATTGGTTCAACCTTTTTTTTGAAAAGTTTAGCAATATCAGTCATCAACCATTCAAACTCTACTCCCACGTTAGAAATCATACGTTAAAAGGTAAGACCTCGTTAATACTTAGCTCGCACAAGTTTCGACTTCTGAGGGTTGTCGTTTGTAGGGGTACGATAGCTGGTTAACGGAAAAAACATATTTTGAACATATTCATAATTTTTTCAAATGTAGAAGTTGTGAGAATGCAGGTGTGTAGATAAATGCTTAGAATAAAGTGATGTGTGCTTAGAAATAAGTGATAATATGATTTGCATTTGACAATTACAGAACTTGTACTAAAAGTCCCAAAATAAACTTTTGTTCCTTTAATCTAAACTTGCAACACGTTAAAGTTAGTGAAAAAATATTTTTTCCTACACATATAAAAAATGTCAATGTTTCAAAACTTACAGAATATTATTTTCCCGTATGTTGAGTAAACTGAACATTTATACAACTTTTATCTCAATTTGAGAACACCTCGAAGATAAAAAAAGTTTTATTTGACCTTTCTATCTTGTAAACCTAATCAAATTAACCATTAATTCTGTGTAGTCTAGTCAATCTAGTCAGTTTTACACCAAATAACTTCTGATGTATATTTCAGGGTTACTTAATTCAATGAAATGGAGAATAAATCTATTTATGATCAACAGATAGTCAAAATAATTAGCGCTGACAAAACATTAAAAATATTACTCTGTTCTAAATAAACAATTAGTATGACAAGAGTTATACTCCGGCATACATTTTCCTGCATGTTGTATTTCTGAGTATTTATTGAAAAAATTCATTATGCTCACTTCCGAATAACATTGTCAACACAGTAGAACGACTAACAGACAATTACATAAATCATGATAATTTATTAATGAAAACGAAGAAAGGTCAAAGTAATTGGCTATCGATTTGTGAATCCAAATTCAATTTATACATTATACAATTTCATTAATATTGGTTAGCAGACAAAAATGAAGGTCAGCACAGGTACACTTAAAAAATTAATCCAATTAGTAAGTGAAAAAATAAGCTGAAGGAATTATCCGCCCATGAAATCCAATTTAGTAATGGCTAGACATAGATTTTTCATAGAAAATAATCAATATATCGAGGAAAATTGATGTAAAAACATTCTGGTTAAGAAGATGGGATGTTGAAAAAATATTTCTGAACTGTTATCAGCATTTTTCTCGTTAGTAATGATCCCACTCTAGGTGGGCAGTTACTTTAAACTTTAAGATAATGTACTTGAGAAAATTGTAATGAAATTAGGAATCTGCATTAGTGTTTGGAGGCTATTCGTATAACTTTTCATATCTACTGATGTCTACAGAAAACACTGTCAAAAGACTGATATTACAAGAAAATCTTTAATGAACATTCTACAGTGTGATTCATTTGAAATGGAACCCCTCTTTTATAAAAAATATATTTTTCAACTGTTTGGATTTTTTCTTTGCGCTTTTAGTACATATTGAGAAAAATAAGAGTATGTTCTTAATATTCAATAGATAAAAGGTTTGTTATGAGGGATATCAGTCTTCAAGCATGAGTTTTTACAAATTGGTGTTAGAAATATTGAGACTCATTCAATTAATGAAAAATGTATTTTACTTGTCTAAGAAGGAAAACTCTTGTTGACAAAGCCTGGTTTACATGTACAATACAATAGTATATGCCTATTAATTTGTTAGTGTTTCATATAAAAATATATTTGGTCTAGTTATGAAAAAACAAAACACAGTAAAAATTACTAAATGTCACAATGAAGTCACCAGTAAATATAGAACGCAGATAATTTGATCTTATAGATACATGCTAAAGCTACAGTTAGCTCAAGATAGCTTAAGACATAATGACTAAAATTGGAAAATTTGTTGTCTTCCAGGTATTTCCTGACCAATTTGTTGTATTTTCCAGTACCTATTATATGTAATAGTTCATTAGTTTAAAAATTTGAACCATGAAACCAAAATTTAATACAGTTGGTTCAAAAACTCTTATCAAAATGTTCATATGATATGTACATCAATAAAGGTCTGAATATATGGGAATAAAACCTGAATATGAATTGAATATGACATATATGTAATAATCTCTACAAAAACCACATAAAAAATCTCACAGAAACAACTCTTAGTCAATGCTCTTTCAAAAACTTGGAACTATAACAATGCACACAATGAAATGAACTATTTTTCGGAGTATTAAAACATTATTTAATACTGTTAATTATTTCCAAGGCCCTATTTCTGGCAGAGGCATTTTCTAACTGACGAGTCACATAAAGTTTCTCTGGAAACGGGTTGTAGCTGGTTACAAATGAAACATTTTTTTTTCTCTTCAAGTACAATGAATCTCCCTCAAAACTCAGCCCTATAGGAAAACATACGCTTCTGAGCGTTGTCGTTCGTAGGGGTGTGATAGCTGGTTAACGGAAAAAAACATATTTAATAAATATAAATATTGAAAAATCAGAAACTTAAGGTAAAGGTAAAGGAGGTAAAAATGTAGAGACTTTTCAAGTATTAGGAATATTATCCCCCGACTTTTTACGAATTTTCATTTGCCCTGACTAACTTATATAGGTTTATCCGGTCGCTTGGTAATAATAATAATTGTAATTGAATAATTTCAGAATAAAGGTACATATTTACACATTAACATTAAAATTTGGTTAGTTTTTTACCGAAATACAATTATTGAAAAACAGTTGAAACAAGTGCTGTGTTTTCGTGAACCATTTAGAAAAAACCCACAATTAAGTTTTCCAAATATGTTCAGTATGGATTTTCATTGGTTGTGTGCCCATTTCATAAACATCTTAAGGAAATTGTTGAAGTCATCAACCAATTGCTTGATGAAAAACTCAAGTAATCAGGAGTTAAGAGAGATATTACATCATAGTTTATATTTTTTCATATCTATACACAACAATCTGAAAAAATTGTATGAACAGTTCATATCTAACAAGATTAGAGTTTGAAATAGGTAGTCAAATGTAATTTCAGTCAAAACCATAAAATTGATAAAACATGTAGTATAAAGGATATAAAATTAATCTTACCAATTTTATGTTGGATGATGTGATTTAGACATATAAGGCACACTTTTCATGAAACAAAAATATATGTATAGATGTTAGAAAAACCTGTGATAAAATCCATTATATCTCGAAGTGTAGTGTAGTAGATTTACGATACATAAAAACTCAAATTAGTATCCACAATTTATTATCACCCTCAGATGTTAGAATGGTAAAACCATCAATTAGTATGTATTTCGTACCTATATAGGTTCATCATCAGCTAATAATTCAAAAATTTATGAGTTCTCTCAGGTCCCAATTTCAATTTAAGGAGTGGGCAGATATATATATAT